TTTTCATATTTTTGAAAGACAACACCAAGGCTGCATGTATTTGATAAAAAAATTAAGTAAAACAGTAATATTATAAAATATTATTGCGACTTAACAGTTTTTTTTATTATTTTAATATATTTTGAACTGCAATTTATTCCTGTGATGGCAAAGCTAAATATTCAGTATCATTACTCCAGTCTTCAAAGTCACATGATAATAAGATGATGTGCTGCTCAAGAAACATTTCGGATTATTATCAATGTTGAAAACCTAATTTTTGTGGAAACCATGATACAATTTTTTTCAGAATTCTTTAATGAATAAAAAGACAACATTTATTTAAAATAGGAATCTTTTTTAACATTATAACTGTCTTTACGCTTACTTTTAATCCATTTAATGCATCTTTGCCGGAAAAAATCTTACTGAACCCAAATTTTTGACCAGTAGGGTAAAAGCTGTCAATGAAGCTTGTACAGACCAGTGGAGTATATAATTGTGTTTAATTCACCGTGAGGCTCTCAGCCAGCTCGCTGTAGTACTCCTTGATGTTCATGATGGCTGGAGTGATATCAAAGCATGGGAACTGCAAGGATACAGCAGGAGATCCTTCATCCAGAGGCCTGGGCTCACACAGCTTCTCCAGTCTCTGTGAACACACGCAAAATCATGGCTTTTTGTTTCTACTCAGGTAACAATATCTGCCTGTGCAAGATAGGGCAGCTGTTCATTAATCTGGCCCCAATGAAGTGTTCATAAAAAGGAGATTGAGTCCGAGTCTCAGCTTGTTCTCGTCAACATGAATAATGAGAGAGCGGCAGATGTATCAAGATAATAATAGCAGTTAATAAAACAAGAAAAACTTCTGTTTTCATTTCATACGCCAGGAGTGAGTTATACCGCACGTCCCAGAGGGAGGTCAACAGATATTTCTCTGTTTCCAGCCATTGCGTACCCCCATGTACTTCATTCCTTCATTCTGTTTTTTCTGTCAGTCTCCATTCCCCTAACCCTGTTCCCCTTATGATCAGAGGAAACACCTTAAATAGCAAAGCCTCCACAAGTCCGTGGTCTAAGGTAAATTTTTCCGATTTCAAATAAGAAGTAACAAAGTGTTTTTCACGCCACATTCTGCATGGCCTTACCATTTGGTGCTGCCTCTCCATGGCGGCCAGCTGCTCCTCATAGATGGCCACTTGCTCTCGAAGGGCTAGGCAGTCAGTGGTAATTACATCCACCTCCTGAGTGGGGAAGCGGAAATAAAAGGTCAATTCAAACACAAAGCACTTACCCTCTACATCTTCTATCACGAGCATCCTCTGTGCCACCAGGTTGTGCCCTGGCAAAGACTGCAATGCAGAGGAGATGAGATCCACATACAGTACGTAGCCTAGCATCCCCCATTTTATTCGGCTCATCTGGGTATCTTAAGTGCCTGATTAATTGCCGATGAATTCAATTACTCAGAATGAAAGCATTTGCATGTGAATGCTGCAGTGTGAGGATGGGTCTGGGCGACAGAGGACACGCACAGTACACACACAAGCTTCCCCGGAGCCCAGAATTGGCACAGTGGCCGTTGTTCCCGTTATCTCAGCGTGAACACAAGCCCAGTACTGGAGAGAGTCTAGACAGCATTTTGATGCCGATTTTCTTCCTCTATTCCACACCACCGAAGGGTGCTGAACTTCACTATGGTGGACACATTCCAGCCAGATGCAGCACTGGTGCTTAAAATGACACATTCTCATGCCAGTTGTTTTTAATATAACCACTGCTATTGCTTTAAAATGCCAGTTAAAGCAAATTTAGTGAAATTAAACTAGTGAATATACAAAACTGTACATTGAACGTCTAAAGTATATTATATACTATATACAACTGCAACTACTGTATATCATGCTTGTGGCTCCATCATAACTATGTCTTTGGATCTCTTCCCGTTTTATTCTCATCTCATCTCAGCCCTGCTCTGTTGCATCTAGGAGATATGAGAGGCTGCATTATTAGGCACGGTGAAAGCTTTCCCACATCTGCTCTTTTACTGGAGATGTGCTCTGACATCTGTGGGGTGACGGAGTGGTTTCTACAGAAAGCAGCTCGGGTTTCAGAGTGGCCGCTGGCGGGGCCTGTAATCAGGACTCTCCAGAGCGGATCTGCAAGCAGCAGCTGTGCTGTGCCACTCCAGGGACTTTAAGACACCTCCACTGGAGTCAGAACACCCCACCCGCAGCACAGGCTAACACTGCCATCTAGTGGTGGGGAAAGTGTAGAATTTCTTTTTCTATTACAGTATTATAATTATACTTATAATAGAATTATAAGTTACAGTATATATTCTGGGGTATGAATGCAGAGATTTGAATCTGGTGGGGAGGTGGCATGGTGTTAAATGACAAAATTCTGTTTAATACTGTACTGTGACATCCAAAAAGTATTTGGATACACTTAAACCACACTTAATGTATGAATTTCAATACATTAGATAACAAAATATCAAACAAGGGATGTGACGTTTATTTTAAACTTGAGAATCCATCTTATCATAAAATGAAGGATTCATTTTTCTTATTTAAGACAAAAAACACTTTTGTATATTTTAATTGGAGTTAAATAAAACTTAAAAAAAAGATTTTAGTAATCGAAAAACTAAAATTAAACTGAAAACATAGAAATAAAAGCTAAAACATGAGCATGTTCTTTTCGAAAAACTTGTTAAATGTAAAATTGATATTTTTCTATAAAATCTCTTTCAGTGTGGCTCAGTGTATCACCTATCAAATAACATCTACAGTTTTCAAGGCATTTTTCATTACCAAAGAAACATCTTCTCGCTCTTGCAGGATGAGAGTCTTGTGCTCAACCACCTGATCATATTTCATCTGCAGACGCCACAGCTCTCCCTTCAGCTCCTCTGTGTTACGTAAAATCTCCTCCTAAGAGGTAAACAACCAGTAAGCAGCAATGAAAGAATCAACAGAATAGACTGTTAAAGAAACTGACATTTGAGGAAAAAGGACACACAGCTTAAATCAATGTAATGTTATAAAGTATAGCCTAAATATCCATCACCACTCAGGCCAGAGTTTCTGAATGGTACCTTTTCTTTCCGTAGCTTCTCTATCACAGCCTCCAGGCTGTAGTCGGCAGGGCTGCTGATGCTGACGGTGGTGGTCATATGCTTTGACTCTTGTCTCTCTTTCAGCTCAATGATTTCAGCCTCAAGAGATTCATTCTCCTCCTCTAGAGACCGAACCTACCTCAGCCACACATAAGGTAACGTGTGTGAGTAGAGGACATGCAATATATATGAGTAATGGCTTATGCTCAAAATGTTGTATCACATTACACTACGCAGTAGAGGACACCGTGACAGCATCTTCATGGCCTTAATATGATTTTCTTCACACCCTCAGGCAAATGACTGACCCCATTAAAAATCGCGGAAATATGATAATTGGGCCACACACAGGGAGACCATTAGATTCAGCATGAGCACAGCTGGTTGTTACCCAGCAGAACCTTGGGTGTGAGTGTGAACATTTTCATGTCTCACCACATTGATGAGGCCGGCCAGGCGATCGTTGAGGGCAGCGATGACAGAGCGCTCACTGACAAATCGAGCCACACCCTCCTTGTTTAGGGCACGAGCTGCAGCAAAATCCAGCTCGGGACATTCACTCTCAGAAACTCTACCCCTGTTAAACAGACTGAAAGCTTTCCAATGTCTCAAATGGCATGTTTACTTTCTAAGCAAACCAAGCAAACAATACTAAAGGAAAAGAGGACGTACACAAAAGAGCTTAACTAATGACACATCTATGCAGTGTATTTATAATTCAAAGAATAAACAGTGAAGTCATTGTTTAAATGATTCAAATCATTCACACAGAACTGAGTTAAAAATGAGTTAGATAGTAAATATTTTATCCAAACATACTTTTCAGTGTCAAGCATTTTAGGAAACTAAGAAATATACAGTATATTCACACAGTTCAAATGTGTGGGGTGAGACTAGTTAAATTGATACTTAAATTGGTCAAAAGCATTTCAAATAAATGCTTGAAGAATTCTAGAAAGAAGAACTTGTATCATGGTTTCCACAAAAATATTAAGTAACACAACTGCTTTCAACATTGATAATAAGAAATGTATCTTGGCTTGAGCAGAAAATCAGCCTATTAGAATGATTTCTGAAGGATCATGTGACATTACTGCCTGGAGGAATGATTTGCCATGAAATGACCTTTTAAAATATATTCCAAATAGAAACCAGCTTTTAAATTCTAATATTTTACAATACTTGTTTTTTAATCAAATAAAAGCAGCATTGGTGAGCATACGAGACTTACTGACCAAATCCTTTTGCATAATATACATTAATAATGATAGCCACTATAATTACTTAAGAAAAATGAAAAATTAAACATGATCAACAATTTCTATTTTTTATATTTTTAGCCAAAACACAATTTTAGATGGAGAAATGCTTTGAAATGCCAAAATAGCAACTCTATGCTGATTACAATACATTCATTTAAAATGTACCAGCAACACGTGTAAGGCTTCCAGATCTAAAAGCACTGACCTGGCAGCGGAGCGGGCCTGGACTCCACAGCGTCCTGTAGCCTGGCTCCACTGCTCCTCCTCAAACAGCTTACGGTACGATGACACTCTCAGCAGGGCCATGACAGCAGCAGGAAAGAAAAAGATGATGACAACCGCACAAGCCGGGATCTATATAGACATCAGGGCTGAGAATGTCACACACGCTTGTGGGATCTCTCACTGAACACAAAGTCGACTAACTAGGGCAACAGTGTCAGAAGATCAACTTTTCACATGGAAAAGAAACAATTCAGCCACTGCAACATGATTGCAGGCCACTCCTTCAGAAAGCAGTTACACAAGTGCAGACGGGACAGTGACAGTTCAGGTCTGAAGAGTCTGGACAAACTCCATTGATAAGGTTGCGCAATAGTAATAGACATTAGCTTAAAAAAAAATAATCACAATAATACGTTCATAATGCGTTTATTTTATTGAATAAATTAGATGTCCCACCCCCCAAAAATAAAACAAAGTATGTGCAAGTACCCAGTTGCAAAGTACCAGGATCATAATCATAACAAAAACTGAATGGAAAGAAAGACAGGACACTAAGATAAACAAACAGATGGGGTGTGGTGATCCCAGATCACCAGAAATCTGTATAATGGCCATCTGCAATGAGGTCCTCCCAGAAACATCATCTATTGGCATTGAAAAAAAGCAGAGTTCTACGGTGGGCCTTTCCAAAGTAGAAATTAGAAAACATAAACCCAACAGAAAGCTCAGACAAAGACACAAGCTTGTAAATATGGCAGCAGATGTGAAGCGATTTAGACTGAGATTCATTGAAGGACATTGAGCCACAGACAATATCATTCACAGAACATCACTACTTAGAGTTTTCAACACTATCAGAAAAAGAAAAGTGCAAAAAATTGTACAAGCGTGTTACTAGGACAGTGCCCAAAGGACATTTTTGTACCTTATTTAGCCCTAAAACATTCACAGCAGTACCTTAAAGATACATACTGTATGACTACTCCAAGGTACTAATATGCATTTAGGGGGTAGATAATGTACAAAGTCATCCTTTTAAAAGCACTGTCCCAGTGACGAGCTATAGTGCCCCTAAAGGAACCATTTTTGCACATTTATGTCTAAAAATAAAGGAAGGCAGGATACAGAGTTGGTCGGAAACTGATTACAACTCTTTTTCCGAGTTGCAAAACTCACACAAAACATTTCCTGTGAGATTGTGAGGAAATATTGCTAATAGACAGGGGCAACATGTCACACGCATTACGTGGAGAAACAGCTTTAGTGGTTTGTGTTACAATAATATTTTAGCGTTGGGGTGATGATTAATGCTGGTATAACAGAAAGAGACTTCCTCTTCACACACTGTTCAACAAAACCAGACTGGCTGGCGCAAGAAGTAAAAACCAGCAGAATTTCAGTCAACACTCACAAAAAGAACAACAGAATCCCAATATGTACTTTCAAGGCAGAAAAACATATGCCAATAAGTCACTACATGGAAATACAAAGTGTAAATGTAACATGAAACAACACCAACAAAGGACACAAAGACTGTAAACATAGACAAAATCATCCCAGTCTGGATTAGTATAACACACAGCATACATATATAGAAGGACCACGGCTGCATCTTCATTACAGGACATGACAGAACAAAACAAGACCCAGTAAGCACATCAGTTAAAATGTTAACGTCTCTGTAGCACAACAGGATCAAGAGAAGATCTGTAAATGAGTAAGACTTCAAAAGAATAAAAGCTTCAGATCCAGAGTCCAGATCTGATAAAGAAAACCACATCTGAAGTTGACGCTCATTGCTATTATTGAAGATGACTAAGGATTATGGGTTTGGATATGCAATCACAACAGACTGAAGGGTCTATTCTGAAGGATAACAGATTCATCTGTGGAGGACATACAAATGCCCAATGCTCAGGACAACAAGGACGTACGAGACTGGAAAACATAAATAACGTGCACTGCACACCGCAATGGACAAAGTCGGCTGATTCATCATGATTCAGATGATGAACTGTGAGTAAAGATCATAGTCCAGACTTCTCCTCCACTCTGAAAGGTAGTCGATTGTCTAAGTCACCTTGTCAGAAACACTTCTAAGTGAAGGTTATTTTTCGAAGGAGAAAAGGAAGCGTGAGACAGGCGGAAAAATGTGCTCTGGGCTCTGAGGGAGTTTTTAAACTGGCAGCACCAGTCAATACAATCTCCAATACATGGCTTTCCTTTAGTGTAACAAAGGCCTTCTTTTGAGTAGCCAAGAGTCACATTCAGTCAACTATGGTCAGGAATATTCGATTTGGCATTACAGCACTGATCCAGAAGTCAAAACCAGAGAAACTGGGGCTGCACGTAGGATTATGGATGCTACAGTCAAAAAGATGAGGTTTGTTGTTAATACTCCCAGAGCAACACATTCAGGGAGCAGAGATAAACTAACATCTATTCCTTTGAAGCAGGAACAGAAGAACCAATGGGCAATGTTTGTGCAAATCAGAACTATCCAACAGTGCCAAACTTTCACCACGGAGGTCGTTAGCCATCTTAGTGCAGGGGGGCCCATAGATCTCCCAGAAGACCAGCCACAAACACACCTTAAGAGTCTTTTCTGCTTCAGAACCACCTGAACCCCTCATTCTGCAGTCCTCTCCCTCAGTCTTCATCGCCTCCCATTAGGAACCCTAGTATGAAGTCATTGGTTTTCTGACGATCATGTAGTGTCTGTTTGCCAGCAAGGTTGGGAGGAGGCCGAATGAGGAGGCTTGCGAAGAGAGTAGCTGAACAAGAGGGACAAGAGACAATACAACAGTAATGCACCTGAATGTTTGCAATCTGCTTCCAATAGAATAAAGGCCATTTCACACGGGACATGGCAAGTGGTGGAATCGTCATGTGGCTGCTGCTTTCTCTCATAGTGAAGTGCTTTGTGCAGTTGTGGTGGTGCTTGCGTCATGCTCTCAGAGCGAACGTTGCCATACTTACAATCGCAAAGGTAACTGAATACTAAATAGATTAAACATAACAAAAATTGCGTGTTTGTATTATTTGTTATTTATCACTTTATGGGAATATGACTAGCATAGTTTTTACATCAGACACATTTAGCTTTTTATCTGGCAAAACACAATTTTTTTTAACATTTATATTGCTGTACGATATATTTTATTGGGGAATTCCACTACATTTAAAACAATCTTCTCCATCATGTTTTCAACAGTCTGATTAATCTAGCAAGCCAGAAACACATCAAAATGTTGGGTCTGGGAACTCACTATTGTTTGTTATTATTTGTTTTCAACTAGCAGGTAACTGTCACAACTCTGTCGTCATTATGTTAATCCCACCCGCCGCCTCTATAGATGTGATTGGCCTGACTAGAGTTTTTTTTGCTGCCGCTAGGGTGTGTCTAGATTTCTAGGCTACAGTCTGATATGAGCTCAATGAAATGTTCAATGATTAATTGGTTGTTAAAAAAAAAATCTGTTCAATAATTGGTTGAAGCCTATATAACTGCGTTGCCGCTCACAAAAAAAGATAAAATGCGCTTGTACAAAATGGGTGCTCGAGCACCACCAGTGAAAGCTTTTTGCTGCTCTTTGCTCATCTCCCATTGCATCACATTCCCGTGTGAAAGGGCCTTATGTCAGACTCACCTAGGAGGTTGGCGTTCAGGTTGTTGTCCAAAGAGTGTTTGAGTAATTCTCTCAAGAAGGCCATCAGGTAGCGGAACACATTGCGATGGGCTCGTGGGAGCTGAGATATTAGCTGTTGTTTAAAGCAAAACAAACAATTAATTCTTAAACTTTGTTTATTTCTTGGTTTATAATAAAAAATTAACTTTGATTTTTCAATGTGGTCTCAGACTTTTGGAATCCAATGTATTTTGGATTCTTGTCTTAAGAGCATTTTAGATATAATTCCATGATCAATGTTAAAATTATTTTGATTAATCATTTGAATGATCTTGTGTACTGTATTATCTATAAATATGGTTGGATAGTTAATACTGTATGTGTGTATATATATATATATATATATATATATATATATACATATATACACACACACACACACACATATATATATATATATATATATATATATATATATATATATGTAAGCAATAAGGTACGAGAGGCTGTGCGGTATCGTGAATAAGTAACAGCTGAAGGGCGTTGTTTGGCACAAAGCGAAACTGAGTACAGCACTTGCCTTGATTACCTTACTGCTTTTATAAAACTGTTACCACACAATTAAAATATGAAAGTAAAAAAAAATCACTAATCACTAAAATACACTAAAATACATACACTACTGTTTAAAAGTTTGAAGTGAGTAGGTTTTTTATAATGTTTTTGAAAAAAGTCTCTGTTTCTCAATAAGGCTGCATTTATTTGATTAAAAAAATACAGTAAAAACCATAATACTGTAAAATATTATTACAATTTAAAATAACTTTTGTCTATTTTAATATACATGTTAAAATGTAATTTGTGATGCCAAAGTTGATTTTTTAATAATTTAAAATAAATAATTTATTTGAAATAGAAACATTATAAATGTAACTTTTCTATGCATCTTTTCTAATGCATCCTTGATAAAATAAAAATACTGACCCCAAACTTATGAACATTCGACCCATTCCAGGTTTTTCCATGGGGATTTGTGTGTCCATGAGTTTATAATGTTTATAATATTTGCATGTTATATTAACAGTTTTAAAAAACAATAAACGCAATTTAAAGTTTAATTTTTGTGTTGATTGTTATAAATAAATAGCAATTGAACTGCATAGTTTAGACCCTGTTCTTCATTTTTTTAAATAATGTTTTAGTATGTACCAAGATCTTGAAGGTTCCATCTAATTTACATCAATAGCTGAGAGACCGTTAATTTCATAAAAGCAAAATGTATATTGTGACTGAAATATACACAAATGAATCGGAATCTAATCACATTGAACACAGAATCAAATCGAGAGCTTGTAAATACGAACTGAATCAAGAATATATATAGATAGATACCAAGCCCAACAACCACAAATAGCATATGAACTACATTGTCAGGACACTACAAATATAATATGCACCTGTTTGCAGAGGCGGCTGTCATGAGAGCATTCAAGACAGCGCTGATAGAGTTCATAACACAGCACAGGTTCAGGAAGTGCCTCCAAGAAGATCAATAGTGCTTCAGCAACTGAGTGATTACAGCCAGCTAACCAGCAGTCAAGGAGAACCATGGTGAACAGTGAGAATGCACATTTTAGCTACACATGGCAGTGAGAAAAAGGAAAAGACCGGGAGAGAAAAGAAAGAAAGAACACAGTGTCTCTAGGGATATCTCAAGGACCATTACAGTAGGACAGAGGGCACATTCTCAGTCTCTCAGTAGTATAGGGAAGAGTTGTGTGGGAGAGTCCAACCAGTCAGAGCAGTTTTAAAGGGAACCACTCGGTCACAATCACTGAAGTGACAGGCATTAGCATTTCTATTTCTATGTTAAGTAACTCTGAGAAGCCTGAAAGAGATTCGTCCAGACTATCCACTTGTAATCAATCTGCTGGGAAAATCTCTAGCTCTTTCTATATATACAAATATTTATTTTTTTGTGGGAAAGGATACGGATGGATTCAGGAATGCTGGTGTCCAAGCAGTCAATAATACTCTGTAGCTCGTCTTGCAGGCCAGGGGTCTGAAAAAGGTCCTCCTTTAATAAAGAAAGAAAATAATCTAATTAGTAATTTGAGATGTTATGGCTAATCATTGGTGCATTCATGATTTATTTTGTTTACCTGCTGGCAGGCCTTGGTGTAGAGGTGATTAACAAGCAACCAGACCTCTTTGGGAATCTTCAGAGGTTTATCGTCTGTTCCAGAACTGTCAAACAAGGAATACATCCGGGACTTCTCCTGAGAAAATTGAGAATTGTCTTAAAAACTATATTTAATTCTATACTAAATTCAAGAAGATATATATATATATATATATATATATACACACACACAAACATACATACACCGGTATATATATATATATATATATATATATATATATATACACACACACACAGACACACACACACACACACACATATGGTGATATATACACTATTTGTGGAAAGTGCCTTTAAATATAAAGATTATCAGACATTTTTATCATGATCACTTTGTTTAAAGTCTCCCTAATACAATTTTTTGGATATTACCTTTCATGTAGTCAGTAATTTAGCTGCTCATGAATGTAAACGGTCTGCAAGGTTTCAAAGATCAAAGCACGATAAATGGGGTTATTGTTTCCCAAAAGAAAGAACTGATTCTGAACAGCCTCAGTTGTAAGAAATTCCTGTTTTTAGCATAATGCCAATCCCATATAAGCATAATGCCAGCCTATGGTCTTTCATTAGCTGCTAGGCGTGTTAAATTAAAATTTAAATTCCAAATATGAATCGAATAAAACAAATAAAATAAAATAAAAACTCCACATTCGACAGTAAAAACATAAAAATGTTAGGTGTGCATCAGGCAGGCAGCCTTATCAATGGCGCACAAGATTCAATGATGCTGCTCTTTGCTACTTTTCATTTTTTTCACAAGAGCTTAGGGAAGGGGAGGAAGATCACAAGGGCTTAGGGCAGGGGTGGCCAATCCTGTTCGTGGAGATCTACCTACTTGCAGATTTCAGATCCAACCCTGAACCAACACACCTGTCTGTAATTATCAAGTGTTCCTGAAGATCTTAATTAGCTTCTTTAGTTGTGTTTGAGCATGGTTTGTTTTGAAATTTCGGTAAATCTCCACGAACAGGATTGGGTACCTCTGGATAAGGCTTCCTTATTTGGGACAGGGCCTAAAACTGATGCCATCATTGCGGTTCATATCACTATTTATCACTGGGCTGAGGAAGCCACCGGAGCTGAAATTCAAATATTGTAATGAGTGTCTTTTCCAACATGCACTGTAAGTGGTAGACCAATCACAACAGACTGGGCCATTTGATTAATGAGAGCATAGTCGGCTCTCGGAAAAAAGGGGTTTAGAGAGATCGAATCTTTTATCAAACAGTTTCAGACTCTGGGAGAAAGCAGGTGATGCTGCAATGTATATTATTACGAGAACATTTGTGTTATTCGAGGCATGTAAACCTATTGTATGAGACCTCCAAAACAAAATTAAGAACCTTTAAAATCAAAATAGGGGCACTTTAAAGACGCCAACAGACATAAAATCAGCCATGTTGTCTTTGAAAAGGGGCCACAAACAACATTCCTCTCTCATACACACAGATAAACGCGTTATGTGGAGAACAGTGACAGCCCCAAGACAGCTAAACAATATAAGGGGACTCACGCAATTAGCAGGAATGCAACTCATGCTGAGTCACAGAAGCAAGATCAGAATCACAAAAACACTCTGACGAACAGCTGACTCCAAATTACAAACACTGATTTGTGAGGCTGGTTTCACCATGCTGTGAGCTGCTTCCTCTCTCTACTTATCTAATATTGTTGGCTGGTGAGCAGTGAGTTAGGTGGGGAAAGGAGGGGCAGAATACAAGCTGAGAGATTCAAGCCTCAGTGGCATTCATTAGTCTGAACCTGCAGAGTGACTGCAGCAAGCTGACCTGTGTGAACCGGCAAGCACTAAAGACTGCCACACTGGGACAATTAAAAACAGGACAGGCACCCTCAATCATACATGTAGGCCCTGATAATACTGTAGCAGCTGTCCTATTGCATGATCTAATGAGTCTTTTCTGTGCATGAAGAGGAACTTTACCTTTTCCAGGCAGCTATCCTCTCCCTGAGAATCATGCAGACCCAGAGTGATTGGTCGGAAAGGAGTGTTCAGAGCAGAAAGGAGTAAAGGAGGGAGGAGAGATGAGACAATAGAGAAACATTGCGTAATCAGAGAGAAGACAGAGACAGTATTGCTATTGCATAATTACAAATAAGCAGCTTTCAGCTACAAACGGTGATCAGTGAACAGCAGAGATTGAAACAGAGATGACTAAAGATGATTGGCTACTCTCTAAATTAAAAATGAATTATATTTTGACAATATAGTGGAGAATGGAACAGTGATGAACAACACAGAAAATTTGCATGATGACCAACTGCTCCTGAACAAGCTGTATCTCATCCAAACTGTGTACATGACTTCCTCGTTGTAGCCTCATGTCAGAATCATTTCAATCCTTATCTAAAATATGGGGACAAAATTCCTCTCAACTGTCTGTCATTACTTTCCACTGCCAAGAAAGTGAGAAGACTTTCGTTTTTGTAATGACAGCCAGTTATCTTTACTTAGCCATGTATCCTGTGATAATAATCCAACCAACTGCAGCTGTGGCCTGTGCCTCACCAGATCGATGAGTTTGGTGATGGGGATCTCCCGAATGGGCTTCTTCATACGGCACAGAGTCTCTAGAGATGTGCCAAAACAGCTGGGCAGATAGTTTCCAGAGACAGTGATGAAGTAGTCTTTTCCCCGATCCAAATGAAGCACCAGAATGTCCTCGATTTTATCCTCACCAGAGTTTAGCAGTGTTACAGAATCTTTACTGACATACACCTCCAGGGAGATCTCTATTGCCTCATCTATGTAAAAAAAAAAAAAAAACAGGATTATTTTGAGACGGTCTGGTAGATGGGTCTGCATCATAAATCAACAAATTCAGATGACATCATATTTGTGTCCTCTCTACATGATATGGGCAGATGACATGACATTTCTTCATAGAAATTGCTTTTTTATTCTCCTATATTTTCATAATTTGGCACAATAATCCATGATTGTTTAAATGTGTGATGCATTAAAATTATTTTAGCAAAACTAAAATTAAAGTTTTAAAATACACTGAAAAAGTCAAATCGACACTGATCGACACTTTCAAAGCGTGTCATTGGAGAAGGGCTGTTTCTGTCAATGATTTCTACCCTTCAAAACTATTTTGGCCAAATATTTCCCAGTAAAATTTAGTGGTCCTTTTGGAATGTACAATGTGGATACAAATTAGTTATATTTTATGGCTGTCAAACGATTAATCTTCACGATTAATTGCATTCAAAATAAAAGTTTGTGCTTACATAATATATGTGGGTGCACTGTGTATAATTATTTATAATACACACACATGCTTGTATATATTTAGGAAATATTTTCATGTATATACTGTATATAGATTTATATATAATTTATATTACATATAAATATTTTATATATAAATAATATGCATGTGTGTGTCATATATATATATATGCTATACAAAGTGCACCCACATATATTATGTAAACACAAACTTTTATTTTGTATGTGATTAATCGCGAATAATCGTTTGACAGCCCTAATATATTTATTAATCAAAATGGAATCTATTTCCAAAAAATGCCTGTCATGAAATTACATACTGCCCAACTAAAGCGTCTAATATTGTATCTTGATAAAGGAAGCATTACAAGAATGTGTCATTATTTTTATGACAAAAATACAGGACTGAAATTAGATACTTACTAGGGTCAAGTACCCCTTCATTGGGCTCAGCACGTAGCCAGGGCTTACAGTATTGAGAGTCATTAAGTTTGGGAATGAAGGCAAAGGTGCAAGCAACCTGTCCATCATTAGTGATAAGAAAACTCTGACGCTGCAGCTGACGGAACTTCACATTTTCAAAGGTGAACTGTGGAATAAAGAACAGGGATAATATGAAAATGTGTTTGAATGGTAGTGTATGAGGCTGTAAACATACACTACCAGAAGAAAAGATGGAAGACCTCAGTTTAAAATAGAACTCTTTTAAACTTTTATAACATTTAAAAATGTCCTTTAAAAACAAATCTACACACTGACCCAACTTTTGCATGGTATTAGTATTTGCTTGGTTATTACAAAATACCCTTAGTATGCACTGAAGAAGTGACTCCAGGTGATGCTGATCAGTTTATTTTTAGTCTATTTTAAAGACACTGCCCCATTGCATTCAGTCTAAAAGCAATTATGGCAATGTGATTAGACTATAATTGACTCACAGTCCAGAGAACTGCTAAGAATGTGCAAACATTATCGACCCTCCTCTGATATATGGTGAGATCTCAGAGAGAATGGAGGCAGGCCAGAGGATCAATGCAGAGTTTGTCAGAGGATACACCGACTTGTCTGTCTCCCTGTCATTACTCACCTCCCGTCGGGTTAGGGACAAAGAGGGCAGAAAGTCATTTTCCATTCTGTCCATGTCCCGCACAATCTCTTCGAACACCTTCTTGTAGCGCTGCTCTATCACCATTTTCACCTGCAGCACACACATAAAATCAATGTGATGGTCTCAACTCCTTTATTGGAGCATGATGAATGGAGTTAACCTCACCCCGACACTAAAGACAGAGCTGACGGGTTTGTGGTCACTGGTCTTTAGTTCCATGTGACTGCGGTAGTGAAGTTGCTTTACGTTGCTCCCCCTCCAGAGGATACGGTCACACCAGGCAGGGACTCGACACTTCCCACTGTCAATGCACCCCAGAGGACAAAGCCAAATTATGACGTGACAAATTATAAACTTAATTTTTTTTTTTTACTTTTAAAGAGCATTTTAACAGCAAGTGATCTTCAAACAATGATGTATAAAGGAAGAAGTCCAAAAAAATGTACCTTGAGTCCCATCCATCGGATTTAGCATCATATTTGTAAGTTGGGATGAAATTAATATCCCCTTCCATGAAATCTGCGAAGGCACGTTTAGTCTTTCTCTGGATATTCAGCTGGCAAAGTGAAACAGAAGATGTAATTAAGTGTGCTTTCAGAGCAAAAATGGAAATCTATATTTGGCCGCCACTTAAAGAACTGCCACGAACACTACTGGAAAATACCTTTGTGTTTTTTCATTAAAAATGTTAATAAAATAATAACATCATAGTTTGATTGAAACGTTGTGGGTCAAACCCCCCCATGAATTTCAGAATTTTATACAATTTTAATTTATATAAACATTACATATTTATAATTCAAATATGTATATGAATTGAATATATAAAAAGCTTTTTCTATTCAGAACTTTAAACTCAAATTGTTGTGCTAATAATATTATTTAATCACAACTGGCCACTTAATTAGGAACACCTTGTTAGTACCGGTTAAGACCCCATTTTTCCTTCAGAACTGCTTTAATTCTTTGTGGCATAGATTCAACAAGGTGCTGGAAACATTCCTCAGAGATTTTGGTCCGTTGACATGATAGTATCAGGCAGTTGCTGCAGATTTGTAGGCTGCACATCTCCAGGTTCCACCACACAATCAAATCCAACCCACAGAACTTTCGCTCACTGCATATTTTCTCTTTTTCGGAATATTCTGCGTAAACCCTAGAGATGATTGTGCATTAACCCTTTCTTCTCCACATGCCTATGCATTGAGTTTCTGCTATGCTATTGGCTGATTAGATACTTAGTGTACAAATTAGTGTACTAATAAAGTAGCCAGTGAGTGTATACCCATATTATACATACATGCATATAAATATATATAAAGGATAAAATATTATATTAAAGAGGCATCATCCCCAGGTCTCACCTGATCATACTCCTGAAGCCTCCGTAACTCATTCTCAGCAATAAGTCTCTTTACTTCCACGGTATCATTCAAACATAGTCTGTAGTTAAGATCTCCAAGCCACATCACCACACTTAGAGGAGAAATCATAAGCATTGAAGCATTTAAATATAAGTGCAATCTTAGCTTAAAACATCGTTATCTAATCATGGGATCACAATGTTAGTGAATGACAGGATGGCACTGGATGACAGTAACACTCACTCATGTTTCACTATACTGAGAGGGGGGTATTCCAGCAGGTGGAAACTCATGCGGGCACAGATGTCTTTGTAGTCCTGGTTCCGCCTCTCAAAGTCATCCACATGAGCCGCCAAATGAGAGTTCACGAAGCAGAAGCTGGTATTGTGAAACACAAAACGCACAGCCACTCCTCCTTTATTCCCCTACAGTAATAAAGTAATAAATGTAGGTTAATATTATCCGATCACCGAAATTGAAGTACTGATACTGTAGAAAGTATCATTCGATGTGTTATCATTTCTTTTATTTGTGTAATCAATACCACTCTAAGATTTGCACCATATCTAATACAACAAAAGATATGCATTCTATGCCAAAAGATAGGCTAAAATGTCTTCCAGTTTTGACAAACCACGTCCTATTTTAACAAATGCAAACATACCATTTTATTCATGAGGCCAGTTCCCACAGACTCAGAAGCCACCTCTTTGATGCAATCTTTGTGCACCTTGTTGACATACACCACCATCATCATTCCCACTAGGCGAATGATACGGATCTGAAGACAGCATACAGAACTTCATGAAAAGTCCACATACAATGAAAGCGAGTTGCACATGATTTCTTCAGTTGACTGCCATATGCTACTTTCAGGGTGCCACAGGAACGATAAGACTGCTCTTAGCATTTTAAAGCTAAACTGCAAAAAAAAATCAGCTGTCGTTCACTCACCTGCATGTATCTGGCTTTATGGTGGAGGCTTCTCTCTACAGCATCAACCCACAACTGTTCTTTGGATGAGTCCATATAGAAAAATGCCTCTGTGCTCAGGTCCAGCTCCTGAAATCTGACAAAAAAAAAACACAAGAAAACAATTAAACAAAGCATAAAGCACTATGACTTTAATCAATCTAACCTATTACTGGACAATGTATAATGTGCAATGATCTATTAAGGGTGAAATACATTAATGCTTGTCACAAAACTTTAAAAAAAAAATGGGATTCCCAAACATGGACCCATTTGTATTCTACACATACATTTCCAGATCTAACAATAGCCTGGTTTTCATTACAGACTTATGCAAAAACGGTGCGATATTTTCAAAATGTCGATAAAAAACTTTTGCAAAATGGCAATAATAAATAATCTCACAATAAGTCATTCCACACATCATGGCAAAGGATGTTAGTACTTTCACGTATAAATCACAGCCACAAGCCATATTTCAGTCGAAGGAGACTTAGGCTTGTTATTCAAGCATTAATGGCAAGGAAATCCCCTTATACTTGGGAGCCTTCAAGTGTGATGAGTTTCTGGGTGTTTCTCCCTCCTATCTGCTTCGAGGTCTTGATAAATAATGAAATTTCTTTGTTGTTTAGAACCCAGTACGTCTTTTATGAGTTTAATCAAGAAAAGTCGAAAGAATGATCGACTTTAACGTTCATCAGGTGACCTGTAAAAGTGAAAAAACAATTTCCAAGTGCAGTTTTCCAAAATATTTATTTTTCGAATTGCCTGAAAAACCACCTCATGTGAGCGTAAAAACTTTTTTTTTTGTGACAAATGGGAATTTTTGCAGTTTACATTGGCCGTATTTTCAAATTGCAATTTGAAGGGTAATGGAACGCAGCTAATGTTTCAGAATCGCAGCTAATGTTTCAGAATTATTTTGGAGTGAGGGGTTATTTCTCTGCCACTCACCCCAGTACGTAGACGTCTGGAGGTTCTGGGTCACAGCGCAGCCAGGGCTCAAGACTGCTGTCTGGGGACTGACCGTTCACGTTCCAAGTGCCCAAGAAGAACCTTTAAAATACAATGGCTTACTCAAAACACCCGGAATCAGTCAAAACAAAATTATTGGCATTACATTTTCAGCCATGTGACACTCACCGAAAGTTCTTAATGTCTACATATTCTTTCTCTTTCTTGCTGAGGCGATACTTAAGCAGGCCTTCCCTTGACCCTGACTGGCTGCCCATCAAGGTCTGTCTCATAGTGTAGTTGGATGGGCTGTCAGACCAGGAAACTGCACGGTCTACAGACTGAAATCTGCTACAAAAAACAACAGAGTTAAACAAAGCTGAAAATGTACAGGCTTCTGCATTTAAAACCAGAAGCACTCACTCATTTCTGACAGGTGTGGCATTCAGTGCGGAGGGTGGCCTTTCTTTAGCTGTCAGGCCTGCCGTGAGGTTAGTCGATGGCTTGTTTGTGCCTTTTCGAGGGGGAAGAGGGGGCAGTGGTGGAGGGGGCGGCTCTCGTTGTGCAACTATACGGTTTTGTTGGTTCTTCTTCTCTTCCACTTTCATACAATGGTTAAAATTTTCTTCAAAACCAAAATCTGTTGCAAGGGAGAGGGCGGAGTCTATAAACATAGAGAGGAACAGAGCAGTTACAGAACGTTCACGGTCATTGGCACATCTGGCCTTGTAACCCAATGCAAAAATGGTTATGCTCTGGCATTTTTTATTTACCTGTGTTTGAGGGCTTTGCTAAAGTACTGTTGTTGATGTTGTTTGAGGTGGATTTGGAGGTTCCTCTTTGAGGTGGAACAGGTGTGCAGTCTTTGACTGGAATGGGTACAACAGGCTCCATCTTCCTAGGCAGTGAACTCCTCTCAGCTAAAGGTGGACCATTTAAAAGGGATGTTTCATATATTTATGAAAAAAAAAAATGAGAATGGCCTTCAAAACATCTTTAGCAGTGGTAGTTATTAATATTAATATTATCATTTTAGTACAGGCAGCTCTACTTATAAGATTTAACAGTAAAGCACAGGTACAGGCACACGGTTTCATAGTACAGTGGGTATAAACCCTTTGATGCAAGACCCAAAATCTGTACATTCAGAGTACCGTACACAAAGTAACCTCAGAGGGACATGCATTTAAAAAAAATAAATAAACACGACAGAAGAAACTATAATTAAAAGAAAACCAAAACAAGAAAAGCAGGTTTGTATGGTTCTCTATTTTAAACGCTTCCCTGGTCTGTATATAATCTGCTGTCTTCCCTTTTCTTTTTTTTACATCTCTCTTTAAAAAACTGAAGTCATGAATACAAAAATCTTTGACTGACATTTTTTTATACATGATCTTCTTGAGTTCTCTTACCTTCACTAATTAATAATTTTAGAGTATTGCAGAAAGTACACAACTATTGACTAGATTAAGCCTAAATTTGCAGTCTGGATGCAAGTAAATTAAAAGTCAATACCAGTCTGCAGATTTTGAGTTTCACAGACATACATTCTGCCCATTAATGTCTAGATAATGTCTAGATATTCATCCTCACATTATTTCAGATTCACAGTAAATCTAAAAGTGTATGAGCACAGATAAGCACACTATTTCATCCAGTCTGAGGATATCAAACATGAAAATTTGAAGTAATTTTAGTAGACATATTGTAATGTATGATACGACTTATAACAGACTTGCATAACACTTAACATCACCTCAAACCTCTGTTGCAATTTGTACAGGTCATAAGAGTTTAAAGGACAAACATACTCTGAGCTGAATATTACAAGGTGTGGTAACAAATCAGAGAAATCATGCAGAAGGTGGTCTAACCTTTGACCCGATTGTGGCTGTAACAATGTAAACAGAAGTAAACCAACACCAAAGATTTATATCTGTCAAACTTTCTGCCCGACACTGAGGTCAAATTCTTCCAGGCAGCATTCATTACTGATCAAACATATAAAACTGGGTGTTGGTTACCATGGTAAATAAATGATTAGAGTAGTTAATAAATAAGAAATGTGGCTTGATGTTTGTGGAAGCATCCTGTGGAGGGAAAATGAGGTATATCACCTTGCTGTTTGGCCTTCGTCACATGTTGTAAGAAAGACTGAGTGTGCACGTCATCCTGCAGCTCCAGCAGAACCTCTGGCATTTGCTCGCCTCGAAGACGAATCCGTACCGTTGCTGTTGAGGAACAGTGTCACTTTCTCACATCCAAACATCACAGCTGTACATTTGATTCTTTTTTAAAGTTTATTCATTAATGAAGTATGCATTACCTCCCATAGTACACAAAAACAGTGCATATAATCTTTTGCAATTTCATAGTTTATTAAAATAAAATGGATAAAAGTAGCACTAAGCTGCTAAAGCTGAACACTGCTACAATACACTGCTTATGGCCAGACAGATATGATTCGACCAAAAATTATGTAACGTTTATTTGAAAAATTATGCACTTAAATTATATCCTATGAGAATGTAATAATTCAAAAACACTAAATTAACGCTTGGTAAAATGGCCAGGAAGGAAGAAATCATGAAAATAATTCAATTAAAAAGAAATAATTTTACAAAAGCTAGCTCATTTAAAAAAAAAAAAAAAAAAAAAAAAAACTTACTGTCTATCGAGATGTCAATGAGAAGTGCTTCTTCAGCCTCTAAAAGGGAAAATTTAATTAAGTCAGAGAGAGGTGTGTTATACAGGTTTTCAGGGGATATATACCAGGATATTTAAAACATAGCCTGCTGTAAATGGTGACAAATGGTTTTCAAATATTTGATCATGGGAGAGAGATTTTATTATGCAAACACAGTGCTTATTTTCTAAGCCTCACTCACAGAGACCAACGGTGAATTTGTACAGGAAGAAAAATATTATAGTGGGAAGAGAGCAAATGTGTTTACACTTTTAAAAAGTCCTTCTGTAAACTATAAATAGTCATTAGAAACTTACCTCGAACTATCTGAAAATGGTTATTGATGGGGATGGATCGCTGGGGCACTTGGCTTAATACAATTGCTTCAGGGTTTTCCAAAATATCCAACCTAACAACAAGAGACTCATTCATGAAAAGTCGTACAAGAGCACATAACTCATCTCATAAGATTGGGTGATTACACCATTTCTGTTGACTTAATAAGTTTAGCATCCAGCACACTAGGAATGATACACTACCGTTCAAATGTTTGGGGTTAGTAACATCTTTTTTTAAAGGAATTAAAATTGATCAAAAGTGACAGTGAATACATTTAAAATGTTACAAAAGACTGCCACTTCAAATAACTGCTGTTCTTGTGAACTTCTGAAATAAATTGTATCACTGTTTTAATAAGAACACTGACAATGTTTTCAACATTGACGATAATAAGAAACGTTTCCTGAGCAGCAAATTATCATATTAGGATGATTTCTGAAGGATCATGTGACACTGACTGGAGTACAGTAACAATGCTGAAAATTCATAGGAATTATTACATTTCAAAATATACAACAAAAGAAAACAGTTATTTTAAATTGCGATAATATTACACAGTATCACCATTTTACTGCATTTGTGCTCAAATAAATGCAGCCTTGGTGAGAAAATTCTGAGACATTCTGTCAAAAACATGAAAGAAATCGCACTGACCCTAAACTTTTAAACTGTAAATGTAGCTCTGATATAGGGTCCATCATAATCTTATCTCATCAAAAATAAAGCTTCAGAATACAGAAGGGGGAGGGAAGCTTATAAAAGTGCAGCAGGCTGAATACAGTGGAGGGCTAATTGCAGACCATATTTCACTCTCTGACAATAACAGTGCCAACCCCAGGGCATCAGGTTCTTCTTATTGTCTTGCCTCCATTTCACTAAATGGGAAAATCAATTACAGTGGATTATTGGAAAAACCTTCAGATTTCCCTGCCTGAGTATGCCATGCAAACACATGGAGGCAAGACTAGAACCCCTCTGTGCTGCCAGTGAGCCCGCTCTCTCTCTGTCTCAGAAGACAGTAATTGCTGTAATGGATGCTGTTGCCAGGAAACACAGCACTCATGAACAAGGGAAATTTGGCCTAGACTTACTAAGCAATCTCACATTCAATCAATACAAATAATAGCCTAATGTAGTGATGATGGTTATAATCTGCCCATGCCAAAAATATCTCCCTCCTTTCAGAGGTTAAACCATGGCATTAAAGTTCGATTGACAGCGTAGCTCAAAAATCCACCCCAAAGGTCTATCAGGCTAAATGAAACATACTGTAATATAGCATGACTACATGATTCTGGATAGTTTGAGAATCACATTTTTATTTTATTAGAAATCACGATTCTCCCACAACTACATATATATATATATATATATATATATATATATACACACACTATATTAATAGACTGTTTTGTTCAGTTGTCTATACAGAATCGTGATTTCTAATACATTTTTTTTATAATATATATATTTCATTAATTTGAATTATTCAATGACTCACATATAAAGGCTTCACTCGTGTCACTACTGGATGAATTTGCGTTTTTGAATGAATATCTTTGATGAACGATTCAATGACAAATTTTTAAAAGTCATTTATCGCCACCTACTGGCGTAACAATGATCTTTATTTGAAGTTTCAAAAGGTGATTTACTCTATTTTGATCAGTATCTGAACTATACAATTACGCCTGTACAGCTAATAATACTTTGTGGTTAAAATGTTGTTGTTTTTTTGTGAAGTTCTTTCACACCTAAACATGACGACTGCTTTGTCAGCGGCAGCGCCAACACAGATCTGAGTGTTCGCTGGGAACGTACTAGTCAAAGGTTTAAATGACCTTGGCAAATCATCATACTTCAAGAATAAGATCACATAGGCGCTTCGAATTCGCAATCGTTTAACGATTCATTCGTGCAGCTTTATTGTAATATACTTCTATTAGCTTGTTATACTTTCAGTGCTCCTTGCAAAGATGCTCGAGCATTTCAGGTTAAAGAAATGTAATCAAAAAATGTAAACTCAGTCATCATCTACTCACAATCACAGCATTCTAAACCTGTAAGGCTTTCATCTTCAAAACACAAATTAAGATATTTTTAATAAAATCTTTGATATTTCTGTCCCTCCACTGGCCCAGTCGACCACTTTGACTCTTCAAAATGTTCATATAGAGATTGTAAAATAAATCCATATGCATAGTTAAGACTTCTGAAGAGTTACAATCACTTTATAAGATACATTTTTATTTACATATAAATTTTGATTAACATATACACAGAGCTCATTAAACATGATAAAAGTTCAAACATGCTTGCAGCGCAAGAACCAATGATGATTGTTCTTGCGTTACGCATGTATGGTTGACCTGCGGTTGAGCTGCGGTTGACCATATTTGATGTGCTCCATGTATGTGCATTGAAATATTTATATGTAAGTCAAGCTTTATTTTTACAGCACAATTAAAAAAAAGAAACTGAAGTTGACTCAAAGTTCTTTACTGATCAAGCAAGAATAAATCAACATATTTAAATACAACAATCATTCTATCAGCTTCAAAACCCCATTTCATGATCTATTCAAAAGCCAAATAAAACCGAAATATGTTTTTAAAGAAGACTTAAAAATGGCATATTTAATTCCTAAAACATGTGAATAAAAGCCTAAATTCATTTACATTTTGGGTGAACTAACAACTAAATGTATAAATTTCCCCCCTGGGGATTAATAAAGTAAATCAAACAGTGTACTTTTTTAACGAGATGTCATTACAAAGAGATTCAACAAATATAATTTGTGACCTTTTTTACCCAGTCAGTTCTCGAGCTTTGAGTAAAGCTGAGTGTGTACACTTTTAATGCAGTTAAAGAGTTTGTGTGCTCATGTGAGGCTTATTAGGCTCTAGGACACAGAGGTGGAATGTAGCATAATGGGCAGCATGCTGGCATGCAACGAAAGCCACACTGACTAAACGCCATCTGACTGCACAATCTTTCACATAGTCTTCTCACATCTATAGTAACTGGCAAATAGATTCAAATATAATGGACAGTTTTCACTTTTCTGGGGTTCTTGCTTCTATAGGGGTGAATAAAAGACAAAAGCAAATAAGATTTTTTCACTCCCAATGTTGTTTTCACTCTTTGCAAAAAAAGGAAAAAATATTTGATTATAGCAGTCAGAAGACAAAGATGTCAAATTTACTGCCAATCCCACAGCCATTTCACTAGAAACACACTTGCAGTTGTAGTTGTTGTTTTATAATGTAATTCCAAGGTAATATAACAAAATATAGTGTAATGTACATTACATTTTTAAAATGATAATACAAAAAAGCGTACATAATATATAATTGTGGGAATGCTTCATCATAGTCAGTAAAAATGGTCCATAATCATGAATTTAGCAATGTCTTGTTAAAAAAACAAAAAAACAAATAGCAGCCTGTTAAAAGCCAGCTGCATTCTCAAGATAGATATTCTAGTTTGATGAATATAGTAATTAGATGTCCTTCGTTTGTGGGTTTGGTAACTAATGTCAAAAAGGCTTAAAATGACCACACAATCATCAGTGTAATAACACAAACAGGCACCAGACAGAGATTAAACAGCAGCTCAACATTCTCAGGCTTTAGCATTTTCTTTTCCAACAAACCCTGTTTTACACATAAGTTTAGTGTGAATAAAGAGGAATGAAAAACTGAGATCGGAGTCTACTCACTTGAACTGTCCAGAACACTGTAACAGGGACAGGAGTCTTGGTTCTTTCTGTCCGCTTGTGAGCTCGTGTCCTCTAACAGTCTGAAAAAATCACTGTCAAGGATTCAACTGAATGGCAATTGGAGGCAGAGAAAATGGATGGAAAGTGTGACGACTCATGGCTCTCTCCCTGCCTCACAAAATCAAAGAACTTGTTGGACTTTATACAACTTCATTAGGTAACGTTAACCAATAAAACAATCCATAACATAGCCTACTAACAAGATGCGTAAAAATCATAACATTGTGTATTCTCTTTGTAGCCTACAGCTACAACATGTCATACCTTACACACACATCATATCAGATCATATCATATCAAGTGACATGACATGAATGTCACACAATGCCGTTCCAAGTTATTCCTAGGAATGTAAGAACAGTGATGGAATATGTTTGGATAAACAACACTTCTGTTTGACAACAGAGAGAAAACGGCAACAAAAAGACAGCATTTGTATTCTTTTAAGCCTCTTTATTACACTGGCATAACGAAAATAAATGTTATTTTTACCTTTAAGTTACAGCTAGGCTAACAAGACATGGCGGCTAAATGGCTTCACAGGAGACTACTTTAGCTCTAAACAAAATGAAAATGAACAACTGAGCTCTCAAATAAAGGATACGGCCAAACATTGGCTATCTGAAATCCCGAACGAATGCTCCATCGTGAAGGTTGTTAAATATGTTAAAGCCGTCAGGCGGTTAGCTAACAGGCTAACCTCAGGAACGGCGCGAGAGCGAGTGTTTTCCCATGTCAGGCTCCACCCCACCCCTTCGCGTGAAATTGGGAAGTTCGGATCATTTCACTGACTCGGATCTTTGAGTCTCGTTCAGCAAAATGAACAAATCTTTTTTTCGAGTCATTTCGTTCGTTTCAGCATTATATAATTAAAATGGCATGTTAAATATACCAACACATCTAGTACTTACGAAAATGTTGATTACATTTATTAAAAGAATTAAAATAAACTATAGGGTAATGCAGCCAAAGCTAAGCGATTAAACCAGAATGTTTTATTAAATTGATAAGTTGTTGGGTCTTAAGTTCAGGCTATTGCAGTCTGATTACCCTATTAGTCCTATTTATTCACGTACAGTTGTAATAAAAGTAATTGTTTCAATAGTGTTGTCAACATAACACTTGTAACAAAATGTTTCCATCATGTAGGCTAGCTAGCTTGCTGGTTAAACAACAGCAGAGAATGTATTCTATTGGGATATGGGGAGAACTCCCACTCAAATTAAAGCAGCACTATGCAGTATTTATTTATTTATTTTTTTATTTATTTTTTACCTTAACTGAATAGCGAGGAGTTATTGCAATGGTTAAATGACTATTTTCGGGTTGAATGTTGGGCGTCTCAGGGGGTTTCAGGTGCAGGTGCAGGTGCTGAATTATATCGACGATTGGTTGATTCTAGCTCAGTCGAGAACCGAACTGTTACACCATAGGTCTTTGATTCTGAACCATAAGTGTCTGGGTATCAGAATCAATCTATCCAAGTGAAAACTGAATCCCAGTTTTCGACTCTATGACAATGAGAGAACACTCACAATGAGAGTACACTCTCTATTCAACAGCTCGCAGCCTCTTTCAGGGCAGGCAAACACTCACGCCTTAAAAAAGTTTCAAAGACTTTTGGGGCTCGTGGCAGCTGCATCATCAGTGCTCCATTTGGGACTACCACGCATGCGCCAGCTGCAACACTGGCTCAAACAGTGTATGCCATGCCAGCCCGCTTGTGGTGGTCAGGCAGCCTAGTCATGGTGAATCACAGTAAATTCAAACCAAATCCCTGGTTGGCTGTGTTTGATAGGCTATGCAAATATATTTTATTTTCAATGTGCACAACATCTAAAGAAATCACACCTCCACTCATTTATTAAACCAGTTCGAATTATACATGAAAATGGGTACATAAATACAGTCTATTCATAAAACACAAGCAGGTGGGCTTGATAAGGATGTCACAGATGTCATTCTTCTTTATGCATTTAAGATCCAGACAATATAATCTTATCATTCATGTTAAATAGTAGAATATAATTAGTGTTTGTTTTATTACACATTGATCAATCAGATTTGCTGAGAACATCGAGATCAGGCAGAGGAGGTTTTGATTTTGTGCATGGCATAAGGGCTGGAGTTGATATGTGGCCAGATGACTCCATTTGGCATCTCAGGTTTGTCCTCATCCCTTCTCTCCTCCATTACCACTGTCATTATCATCTCTTGGTTGAACGTGTCAGGCGTGCGATACGGGCGCGCAAGGTGGCGAAAAGAAGAACGCAAGGATGCGTCATCATCATCAAAATCCTCTATTAGTCCTCTCTGTGACCTGTGGGAGGACTTCAGCTCATCTCCTAGCTCAGACGCCAAGTCTTTCAGATCTCGAATCAGGGTGGATTTGAGACCGAACAAACACAGCAAGAAGAACAGACCAGCACATATTCCTGAGACAAAGTATAAAGCCACTGTCTCCGGAAGACCTTAGGAAAATGGAAAAGAGAGACCAAATTAACATTTAAAATGTAATAAACAATACATTCAACAATGACGAGGAGAAGAGATTAAAAAAGTAATTAGTAAAATATTGTAAATGAGAAGGCCATAGCTGACTGCTAATGTTAGCAAACCACAAAGAGAGATTAATTGTTTTTGCATTATTATTTTTTAATAAATTACTTTGATGTTAGTGGTACATGTACTGTAACATTTATGTTTCTATTTAAAAAAAAAATAATAATAAAAACACCCAAAAAAGAAAAGTGAATAAGTAAAAATGGCACCAAATCATTCGAACATTCTGGGATCAGGCCACACATCTAACGTACCCTGGATCTGGGAAAAGATTTCCAGAGAGTTGGTGAAAATGTTTTGTGGTCTGGACACACCGGGGCCAGTATACCACCCTCCTGTGAAGGGGGGGAGAGGGGATTGGATCCTGCAGTCAGCAGGACCATCAACAACCACTGACTAACAGTTATGTTATTCATACGGTTGAGGTAAAAATGTTACATATCCCTTGAAAAAATCAGTAAAATGTTAATAATTTTAACAAAATAAGGATAATAAAAATGTTTGCTGCTGAATTTATACAAATGACTGTTAATGCATTTTGTTGCCGCCTTTAGCATGTGTTTTCAGTTTTCACATTTTGCAATAGTTGATTATGAATCCTTAGAGTGAAAAGATGAATATCAAAATCATATAGTAACTGGAAAGGATTTAAATAAGCAGAAGATGCTGGAAAACAAAAAAAATGTGCAGAACCTGGACGATTTCTCTGAAAAACACGATTTAACTAACTACAAATTTTAATGATCCCTCTTATTTTGTTTAAATTATTAATTAAATTAATGACATTCTGCAAGGTACTTGTGAACTTTTGACCACAATTTTATATCTCTCCTGTCATATTTTTACTTGCAATACTAACACATGGAATAAGTCGCAGTTATTATGTTAAAATCATCTTTTTAATACAAGTCAGTTTAATAAAATGAAATTAGCCGAGCAATGATCATTTACACCATAAACTCCTTTTTCTTACCGTGCGTATAGTCAGAGAGCAAGAAAGGATCTGTGTTTCCACGTCCAACATCTTCCAGTAGATACCTTGGTACTTAAATGCGCAACAAAAAAGAAAGTCTTTTTATGACTGTTTCAACAGAGAATAAGGTGATCACAGTTTTTCAAAACCTCTTGAAACTCACCGCAGGTGAAGGAAACTCGCAAGTGCTTTCTGGTGCCAGGGAAACAGGGGTCTCCAAAACCCTGAGCATCAGCCAACACAGAGCAGTTCGTCCTGCCATGACACTTCCTTGACACCCTCCTCAAGGCTGACGGAGATAAGCACTCTGACAGGAAACATAATCTCATCAAATGAATTTGAACACATATTTTACTGCCTCTTCTATTGTAGCAAAACATGCCCACTAGATGGAAGAAGTGTGTTATATTTTATTCTCAGACCTATGTCTGTTTTTGTTTTAGCCTCTTGAGGGCACTCAAGACTGTCGTGCTCCAAGTGGCCAAACGTGGCTGAATAGATGGCCAGAACCGTGTCATTCTTACAGGCCAGCTTGAGCCGCTCATTCTCACACACTGTTCTCGAGCGATGATGCTCTGCGGAGAAAGGAAAATCACTGATGTGCTGCTCGGTTACAATCTCGCTAAAGTGAAGCACAACATATAGGTGTCTCACCGGGCTTGCACTTGTAGGAGACAATGATGTATTTGCTGGTTTCAGGGCAGGGATCTTGACCAAACACAGGACTCACCACTGGAATCTGACACTCCCATCGATCCTGGCACTCAGACATCACTTTCTGACCATGAAATTCATCATATGAGTTTTTTGCCTCTAGAATTAAAGAATGAGTAAATGCAGATCAATGATACCTGAATGGCTGTGGTTGATATACAGTTGGTGTTTTCCTCTGTTATGTTTGGGTTTGTGTGTGGGCATAGATATGGACTGGGGACACGGCGTCCATAAAACGCTGAGAGGACAGAAACAGATGTTCTAGTAGGGCATCTGATGGACAGTGTCTCTCCATCACAGGCATGGGCAGTGTGGTTCTTCAGGATCCTATGGAGGTAATCTGAGGAGAAAAAATAGACTGATATGCACAGCAGCTTTTAAAGTGGTCTTAACATAAGTTAATGAGTAAAGGCACTGCTCAGCATAGAAGCAAGGCATTGTTAATGCATTTAGAGAAACCACAGCCCATTCTCACCCCCAAGGCGTCACTTAACTGACGCCTTGGGAAGCATTTGGACATGCTTCAATATCTGACGCTTTAGGCGCCCTTTAGCGTCAGTTAGATGACGCCCTAGGATCGCGAGTACCCTACCCCCACCCCACACCTAAACCTAACCGCGTCCTCTAACTGACGCTTTCCTTTAGCGTCAGTTAGATGACGCCGTAGGATCGCGTCATGTAAGTGACGCTAAAGGGCGCCTAAATCGTCAAATATTGAAGCATGGTCAAAGGTGACGCCTTGGGGTGAGAATGCGTTGGAAACCACTACACAACAGCATTGTTGACCACAATTGTACACTTATGGTGTAAATCGAGCAATGTGACAATGGACAAACCAACTCCCGCACTTATCTTTTCTTGCAAATGCAAATGTGGTTGACATTATGATGTCTTCTCAGGTACAGTCATACATTAACAGAGATCTGGTGGGTCGGAACCCAGGACAGGAACATAAAATAAAATAAAATGAAATGATAATCATTTTACCCTTGGTGTGCCTATGCAGTTATTAATACAAGTTTATTAATAAAAATGTTTCTTATTGATTATTAAATATGAATAATAATGTTTTTTTTTTTATGGGGATGGTAATTAAATAAATAAAATAAAATAATTGGTAACACTTTATTTTGATGGTCCCTTTGAACATTCTGTTGACTAAAAGTAACTTAGCAATTATATCACTGTAAAAAAAATATTTTCAAGATTTTTTATCACAACATTTTTTCTTTTGTCAAATCAACTTAAATAGTTTATTTAGTTGAGATAACTTATTTGAGTTTCGGATGATTAACTCAGTCTCCTTCATTGTATTTAACTCACTTTTTCCAGTTCAATCAACTTAAAATTTTAAGGCAACCAGGTTACTTACTTTTTTAAGTTAAACCAACAATATTTTTTATGTTGTACTAACTCTCATTAGAGTATAATAGACTGTCAGATTAATATCTGATAACTCTTTATTGTAATGATCCTCTAACTAATGACCATAAGTAACTTTGCAACTACATGCCAACTTATTCTAACCAATACTCTTCTAACACTCTAATGAGAGTTAGTAGACATGTATAGGTGCAATGTTACTTACAGTCAACAAAATGTGTTAAAAGGACCATCAAAATAAATTAAAACCAAAATATTTCTTGATAAGCCAAGTTTTATTAATATATTTCAGTGTTTTAAGTATTTTAATATATTTAATATAAGTTAAGCTCCTATTGAGTTATTGTTTCTTTTGAAAATTGTATATTTCAAATACTGCAGTGAAAGAGAGAGGCAGAGGTCAGCCATGAGGAAATGACCCCTGAAAGATTTGAAAGCATTCTGCACTGCAGATTTGAGATTTAAATGTTATGAAGTGGACAACACAAACGACACAGAACATTTTTCTCTTTCTTATCCTGCACTTTTCCACAAAGCTCAGGTTTCAAGCTTTTTTCATGCCCTTTAGCCTATTCAGTATGTTCCTTCATTGGACCGTATCTGTGAGTATTCAATGAAGGAACAGGATCAAGGGTAACGTCTGGCCTGTCTCTCTTGTGTTAGGACATTCTGCATCTGTAGAGCCCTCTGTTATGCAGTGCCAGGCACAGACACACTCCCAAATAAACACAATGAGCTATTCTTGGCTGATTATCATTCTTGAAGCCATTATGTATTGTATAGGGGGGACTTGGGGGAGATACAGATAGACAATCAGAAACAATTAAATCAAGAATGCAACAAGTGTCTCTGAAATTTAATAATATATTTTTTTAAGTAATATGTGTTAATAAACATATTAACACTGCTGTTGGACTTGCTGTGGATTAATGTATTTGATAGTATTTTAGTGTATATTGCCCATAACATTATACACTTTGTCAACCAGCTTCAACACAAAATGTTTGTCTTTGGTTCAGAATGGGGTAATGTTGCCTTGCCCTCCTATATGGATGGTGCTCAAACAATAGAAGAGGAAGGGACACCCATCTCTCTGATGCTCTACAGATTGTTGACAAGGACTATGTAAAAGACAAAACACGGAATGTGCTCTTTCCTTTGAGACAGCATGCAGTGTTTCCTCTATCACAGCCACAAAATTCGAGAAAAACACTTACCAGAGAAATCTGGAGCTGATGAGGATTGCCCTGTGTGGACAGCTAGGACGAATGAGAAGAAACACCACCACCAAGAGCTCCATAGAGACATAGTGCACAACGCACATTACGAACCGCTGTGATTTTTAACTTGGAGAAGTTGTTTGGCTGTTTACTGTCCTCTGACTTCTGACCAAGAGAAAAGGGTCAATGGTGGCATTGTGCGGAGTGAAGAACAAGCGCTCTTTCAACAGCACTGACACATTTGTCTCACTGCACTGTTTAGTTTTCATGCTTGTTTTCCATCTATTTATCAAAAGAGCTTTTTGAGGTGACAAGGTTCACACATCTGTTTAATAAGTAGCCACCCTGATGACAATAAATGCAGTTTCTAGTCACAGCAAAAAACACTTTCTTAATCAGTATTTTAGTCTTTTAAAAACAAGTAAGTTCAATTTTCATATGTTGTTTGTAATCATCTATCTAAATATATTAATGCACAAAAGCTCTGTATTTCGAATAAATGTTGTTTTGAACTAATCCTGAAAAAATAAATCATCATGCTTTACACTAAATTATTAATCAGGCAAACTATTTTCAAACTATTTTAATGAAAAATAAAAACTTTTCTGGAGAGTGGAGTAATGGCTGTACAATTTTTGATCTTCTTTTAGGTGTTTTTATAATTTTTTTTTACTGGAAAACAAGATCAATTCTGAATAAAACGTGCAGTTTTTAGTGTAAAGGGTCATGCATTAAATCAGATTTCTCTTCATTTCTCTACAGTAAGAAAAACCTCAAAACAAGAAACAGTCTTTGCTGAGCTTGACAGTTTTGTTTCCTTTGCTGGCATTTATGTATAAATGACAGAAGTGGGTACTCATGATCAACATTGGGGTCCTGTTTAGGTAGATAAAGCAAGGATTTTCCAAGCTGTGTGTTCCCAGCTGCTGGATGTCCTGTAGATAGCCTATCATCTCAGGATAAGAGCTTCCTCTCTCAGCCTGAGGAAGGGAGAGGTCAGTGGTTAGTGAGCACATCACATTTCTCTCTATTCCAGAAATAATAGGAGACCTCAATATGAGCTGTCAGTCTGCTATCTCTATGAGAATAGTATGTTTTCTGAACAAGCAATGAGTATTGAGCAGAGGTCAGAAAACAATTTACAGACAGTGCATCTTAGCTTTCTCAGCACTTTGTCAATATAATCACCCTCCCCAAGTTAAAGAACCACAACCCCCACATATGAGATCAGTCTAGTGCCTGAGAGGAGTGTTTGTGATTTAAATTGGAGCTGTGTTGATTATGGAGACAAATGCTAATGTGCTGACCTCTGACATGTTTGCTTATGATTGCAGCGGTGCCATGAGATTAGATGCATAGAATTTTGCATCGTCACAGCTCATCATCTCCATGGTGATTTCTTGTTTGGTGGTATATTCCATGTGGTGGTGCAGCTCTGTATGTTAAGGGGAAAGAGAAGCTATCATGGACTGAAACAGCTCAGATCTGTTACTCATAGTATCCTGTTGGCTTCCACTCCGAAATGGAGTGGAACACGCTTAATTTCCAGGATGTGTAAAGGAGTTTCCATGTCAGGCTCTTGCTTTGTATATACAGTATAATCACCAGCCTTTTATACTTACAGGGATAGTTAACCCCAAAATAAACATTTTGTCATCATTCACTCTCATGTCATTGAAAACGTTTTCTGCTTCTATGAAACGCCAATGAAGATATTTAGTAAAGTAAATTCAATTATACCATGACGATCTCCACCATTAAAATGTGCTTTATTGATGAACATTACAAAAATAAATAAATAATGCTTTAAAACAGACAGACATGGTGATTCACTACCACAGATTGAACATTCTGCTAGTGCTAAGAAAGTAAATCATACAGGTTTCAGACAAACATGAGGATAAATTATGAAGGAATTTTTAGATGAACTATCCCTTTAACAACCACTTTTAAAAGTCTTTGTGAGGAAAGAAGAAAGCAATTCCTTGCTTTCTTTGGTTTCTTTTTCATGTCTGCTTTTTTTGCTATACTATTGTTTCAAACTATAGTGTGAATTCCCCAGAATTATGCAATAAACCCCCTCAACACAACATCTGTCTCCTGAATGAGGAAATGAAACTCTTTAGGGGTTGAAAACAATTTGGCATTCTGTCATTAAAATGTCTGTTTTATAGATCTGGTGTACAAGATTAATTTGAGTATAAGTTTGTGTTGTATGCTAAGTTGTCTTACAGCATGAAAGAGTCTTACAGCATGCCAAAAGAGTCTTTCCAGGTTAATAATGCTACAAATATGCTCAATTATAATAAGGGGAAGCCATAGATGACGGAATAGTTTCCTTTGACTCATCATGACTGCATAGGGAATGAAGGGGAACTATTTGTTTAAAGAGAACCCATCCCTTGAGAATGATCACATACCCACACCCTCATGTGTCTACTCACACACACACACAACTGTGTATCTTAGTAATACTTCTAATGTTTTATATGCACTATAGACTATAATCCTTACACACTACCCCATACTCATACCAGAAAACTGTATTTTAGATTACAAAAAAACAAAACAAAAGTGATATATGAATCATTATTCCAATTGAGGAAATCCCCAAACGTCCCCGAAGGGATTTAGCTCATTTTTGGGGTTGAAAACCACAGAAACCACATTGGATTTGTTTTCTGTGCCTCAACTAATATCAAAAGTGATATTGTTTTTGGAAGGTTTGGGCAGGGGTTACTGGAAGTTAGAAAACTTCCAGATAATAAGAAAGAGCATGAGTCAGAATTCCAAATGACCACTGGGAAAAAAAAGACTGAAACAGAGAAGAGCAAGTATCTTCAATCTGTTGTCTGACATGCAAGAGTTAAATATCTTCTTTTAAAATAAGTGGATTAGTTCATGATAGTAAAACAGCCTAAGGGGGACATAGTGCTTGAACATATGGGAGAGGAGAATGTTATTCATGCATGAATGGAATGCGGCCCCTGCTTTACGTCTGCGATAACCCGGTGACGTTTCTCCTGTTAGTGCGTGCTGGATAAAATGAAAAGCTATTTTTGAGCTCTCCGGCACAGCCTGGCATCCACAGTTATATATAGGGTCACGCCCATCTCTCTAGCCTCCCTCCCTCCTGACTTTTAAAGTGTGTACACGGAGGGAGACAGCAGAAAGCAGGAGTCTGACTAACTTTCATCTTCGCTTGCACACATTACAGCGTGTACAAATCTTTGGGTGGAACTTCTATTGTCTGGTTGGTTTGTGGAATCATTTTCACAGAGGTCTGGAATTATTAGTCTTTTTCCCACAGGAAAGAAATGGCACTCAGACAAGACTCAGATAAAGAACCACGAATTGAGCTCTTCATAAAGGTCAGTTGTTCAACTTTTACAAATTTGAGTTGGTCAGATACTCTTATTCCAAATCTAACATTTTAATTCCAATAAAGTAACTCAGTTGTAGGATCAAATAATATTAAATATAAGAATAATTTAAATTCTAAAATAAAATAAATAGTTCAAATAAGCAAATGATCAAGTTCAACATTATTCTGTTGGAATAGAGATGTTAAACTCAATTATTTTAGCTTTTGAGCGAATTATTGTAGATAATAATATAGATTATGATGCACCGTTTGCCTCTTATTTCCCAGTGTACAGTATGTATTTTTTTTTTATAGACGAGAATATATTCTACTTCACATCCTGAATAAATAATAAAAGGCTTGTGACTATACATGAGCCTGTTGCCATAAGTTATTTTGTTGAATAGTATACAAAAACACCATGAACCAAGATCTTCCAGTGCTCTTTGCCCATTTGGGCGCCATGATTTGGGCGTTTATAGTCAATTTAGTTACATTATGCAATAGCCAAGACTGGATAGTATGGTTGATATGCAACTGTTCGCCTTTACGCTTCTCTTTATCAGAACAGACGCACAGACAGCATTGGAATCATCTTATCACCACACATGCACACACATTGAAAGACTAACAGCTCTTGGATCCCTGTCGTCACACCCAAAAACACACTTAGGTTTCCTATAGATTCCATTACTTTGACATTGCCCATGTAATGCTTTAGTTGAACTACTGTACTACAGTTCATTAAAGGTGCTCTAAGTGATGCAACACATTTTTTAGGCCAATTTTTTTTTTTTTGTCAAATTTAGCAAATATCTTGTCACTATCTGCTAGCTGCCTGTCCCCTGAACACACTAAAAAACGCGGTCTCTATAGACACCACAGGCACCACAAACGCCAACAAAAACAAACTGGGCCAGACCGCACCATGAAACATAACAAACAGTGTTCCAGCCGATATCCGACATTAGAATTACATTCTCTTTAAGTTTGATATGGCCGACACATGACCAAAGAAATGACGTTCCGGTGAACGTATTGCAAATCCCAATTTACATTGGAAAAGCCTTTGAAAGGTGGCAAGAACTCCAATCTGACAATCAGGTAGCATGGACGTTCATGTTCGCCAAACCAATACAAGGAATGGGATGGGATGAGGAGGAGGAGGAGGGAGGGAGGGAGGGTCTAGCTAGCCTCCGTTTTGTTTGACAATACTTCGAACGTCAACAAGAAGTGATTAGAGCAACTAAATGCGTAAAAGACCTTTAGATACTAAAGATAATAAAAAAAATTTAAAAGTCACCAGTCACAAATAGAAAGTCACCATTTATTACAGAAGTTATATATAGTGCAGCTGTTTGTGTTCTTATTTTAAAGGATGCGTATTATGGGCGGTAGAAGCATTGTTGTGGTCTGTTATCTCCCTCTTTTAGACAATTCCTGCTTTCCTCTCTTTGGATCAAGCTTTTGAATTGTTTTCCCACACCTACACAATATGGACTATTTATGTCCTATTCTTTTTATAGGGAGGGACACATTTATTTAAAAATAAAAGCTATCCATCAACATTTATAATAATAGACCACTGGGGATCTGAAAGACCCCAAACATGTTTAAATATTTTAAGAACATTGCTATGTTTACGTACATTTAAGAAAATGGTTTATTCAGGGGGGATTTTGTGCAAAAAGCAGGATTGTAAAACTTTTTTTTTTCAGAAATGAGATAGAACGATTTTACCTGGATACCTGGATTTCTGTCATGTAAAAGAATTCTCAGTGAAATTTGTCCTTACGCGCACCAGAGAAACGTGGGCGCCGTCATCTTTAGAATATTGTCTTTGAACTTCATCGCTGTCGAGCTGGTGAAGTGGATTTACTTATTGTAGACTTAACAAAAGTTATCACGAGCATTGTAATGTTAATCATAAGCATTGTAAAGCAGATCTTAACAAAATGTCGACCGGGAATTTTTTTACGAGCAGATCATTCACACCTATGCAAGATCGCTGTGAAAATACCGGAAGTCAAAAAACGAGCGCAGTGGTGAAAAGGGGCGGGGCTACATGTAAATTCTGTTCTTTGAACTTGAAGACATCAAATAAGAATGGTTTCTTATTTTACTGTATTTTTTTATCAAACAGATGCAATCTTGGTGAGCATAAGAGACAGAAAAACATTTAAAAAAAATCTCAGTGTTCACAAACTTATGCACTCTAGTATTTTAGAGAGTGTTAACAGAGCATATCGCAAATGCAATTTGTGTCCTACGCAGCTTTCTAGTAATAACCAGTGTGCATGTAAACATAATGATTAAAACAGCTGGTTCCATGAAACTTCACACTTTAGTTTTCTCAGTGTTATCTTATGATAAAACCCATGGGTTGAACGTTAAAGTAATTTCTGCCTCTACTGGGTTTTGATTAAGAGGATAGTTCATCAAAAAAAAATATATTTTCTGTCATCATTTACTCATTAATGTCGTTCCTGACTTGTTTTCCTTCTGCAGAATACTAGGGTCCAAACTGTCAGTTTATGGAAAAAAACAAACAAATAAACACAATACTGACACATCCTTCAAATATATTTTATGTTCAACAGAAGATAAGGTCATACAGGTTTGGATCATGAAGGTGAATTTATAATGACAGACTTCATTTTGGGGTGACCCTTTCTCCTGAAGTTAATAATTTATACATAGGGTTTCTGCTGGGACACAAAATCGAAAAAACAAAAAAACAAAACAAAAAAACAGTCCAGTCAATTTCAATCCATGAATGATGTTCAGTTAAAGGTCTGTGAATCTTTGACACTGACCATGGATGTCTCTTTTTTTGTCTCAAGGCGGGTCATGATGGGGAGAATGTGGGGAACTGTCCCTTCTGCCAGAGACTCTTCATGGTTCTTTGGCTGAAAGGAGTCAAGTTCACAGTAACCACCGTTGACATGAGGAAGTAAGCATCACTTTAAGCTTTCATTTCATTGAAACAGTAATGCGTGGATGGACTTCTGCCCCAGATGCGGCCGTTCTAATGACGGAGATACAATTATTTTGCATATCTCATTATGAAGTAAATCCGACTCTAGTAAAGGCTATCAGCTGGAATGGAATTCAGTCAACAAATAGTGAAATCTGAGGAATTCTGGACTAGCATGGACTAGATGTGATAACACCGGCAGGGTCAGTCAAAGTACAGCAGGTGTGCTACAAACAGGATGAAGGGAGTGTGAACTTTCCCATTGCCCTGTTCCCATCTAGGCCTAATTCTTCTAAAGCAAATGCAACTTTCATGTACTTAGCAGCTGAACACTCCTATATCCGTGTGCTTTGAGTGCTAAATGAGTTTAATACTATTTTAAACAAGCATCAATCACTTTAGGTCTCATTCAAAGACTCTCCGTAAACAATAAATGACTTCATTTTGAACATGTCCGCACCCTGTGGTTTACACTCCTTCTGCTCTGCTCCACCCTGTGTTGTCTAGGAAGCCGGAAGAGCTGAAGGATTTAGCTCCAGGTACTAACCCTCCATTCCTCCTGTACAATGGCACGCTGAAGACTGATTTCATAAAGATCGAAGAGTTCCTGGAGACCACACTCGCCCCTCCTCGGTATAGTGCTTGTCTGTGTGAGCTCATGTAATGCTATATCAAACGTTGGCTTCACACTGACAAAGACATTTCACAATGAGACATTATTCTAGTGTTGTTCTGTCATACAGTAAGTCACATGGCTGCACTCATTCAAGTAATATCTGACACACTGACATTGCTGTGACATTGAAATCATCGATTTCAAAGACACTCCTCCCGGAGTCCCGGTACTTCAGAATAGTTCTTGATTAACTTTTTAATTTTGTCTTGACTGCATGTGCAAAGAAACATGCATTAAAATGATCAAAAGTAATAGTAATAACATTTATAATGTTATAAAAGATGCTGTTCTTTCAAACATTCTAAGAATTCTGAAAAAAAAAAAAAATATCAGGGATTCCACAAAAATATTATGCAGCAAATCAGCATATTAAACTGATTTCTGAAGGATCGTTTGAAACTGAAGACTGGCATAATGGTAGATTGAAAATTCAGCTTTGCCATCTCAGGATTAATAACCTTTTAAAATATGATATTACTGTATTTTTTATCAAAAAAATGCAGCCTTTGTGAGCATAAGACTTATTTTAGGCCCCACACAGTAGTGTATATGACAGACTATGTGTGACAAAGGACAAAAAACATACCTTTTTAACATGCATTGGATGAGCTTAAGTGCTCTTTGAGTGTCAGTATTATTATGTGAATGATGGATGTCTATCTTTTAGGTTTGTGATGATTGGCTTTAAATATTTCCCTCTGTCTTATCAGCTATCCTCATCTCAGTCCCCGCTACAAAGAGTCATTTGATGTTGGTGCTGACATTTTTGCCAAGTTTTCTGCATTTATCAAGAACAGCCCAAACAATTCCTGTAAGTTACAACATCTATACATAAAATTGTGTGTGTATATATATATATCAGCATGATTGTGTGATACTGGAACAGTTAGATTCACAAAAAAAAATTATAATTTTAGACATGATGTTGTGAAAATACTTCCAAAAATTGTTGCATTGTTGCACTCATTCATAACAAGATTCGCTTGTGTCATTTCTAAATGAATCAGAATTTTTAAACGAATCAGTTGAATGAACGAATGGTTTAGTGACTCGTAAATAATTTGTACCACCTATGGTGTAATCTACAGAAAGAGTCCATGAAAAGACCTAATGGAAAATACACACCACTGACTGGAAGCGGAGTGATACAAGCAGTTTAAAAAAAAAAAAAAAAAAAAAAAAAAACGATATTGATCAGTATTATAATTTTTTTAAACAACATAGGCCTGTTTACTTAATCAGATTAATGCATTGACACTTACATAATAGAATAACAGAATATGACCATTTTCTGACTTATATCTAAATATAAATAAATATGAATATATCAGAATATTTCTCTATTATTTGATTCCTCAGTCCATGAAAAAGCCTTATTGAGGGAGTTCAAGCGTCTAGATGACTATCTGAACACTCCACTTCAGGACGAGCTCGATCAAAACATCAGCATATCCAAAAGAAAGTTCCTCGATGGCAACCGCTTGACACTGGCAGACTGCAACTTGCTACCAAAACTGCACGTCATCAAGGTGATACACCTCTGTGGTTTACAGATACACACACATACACAGGCCTATAAAACGGTTGAATTTTAAATACATAATTATGATGTGATTTTCTTTTTGGTTTTGTAGGTTGCTTCCAGGAAGTACTGTAGTTTTGAGATTCCTGCTCAGTTCACTGGAGTGTGGCGTTACCTGCAGAACGCACGCGAGAGAGAAGAATTCAGCCAGACCTGTCCAGCTGACATTGAAATTGAGAAAACCTATCTGAGTGTGGCCAAGAGGAACTGAACTTCATATTACTGAGGACATATGGGGTTAAATGTTTAAATAGTGTAAATATGTGAACATTTCAGTTTATTAAGTTTATACACTCTAAAAAAATGGTGCTAAATAGCACTAAAAGTGGTTCACTGGCTTGTTAACATAGGGGAACCACTTTAAGTGCCATATAGCACTTATCTTTGTCATATGGTGCTAGAACCATAAGAGGTGCCATATAGAGCACGTTAACCACCCCACTGAAGAACCAAACTGGGCTTAGTGGTGCTATATAGCACCATGACCACCACAAAGAACCCCTGAAGAACCTTTTTTTTTTAGAGTGTAGGCATCTACATAGTTCACACAGTTATAAATATATTACAGTAAACACAAAAGGCACACTGACTGAACTCAGTTTGATTATGCACTTTCATTGTGTCTGTGATCTCAGAGCCCATTGGATTTACTAGCATACTTTTGTGTGACTGCTACCGTCAAATAGGCTTTATTTTGGTAGTTTTAGACGTTATAGGATCTTTTGCAAACGATCTTGAGCACAACCGGCGAGTTGTGCTTTTAACAGCATGTAATGTTTTTGTGCATAATGTATATATGTATTTTACATTCATTATGGTATATTTTTGGTTTTATGTAATGTATATACAGTATTTTAATCATCTTTAAAAATGAATTGAAACACAAATCAGAGTCAATGAGTATTGCATCAGTAATGGTTGTTTTGTATTAAAGGTTATTGTTAGACATCACGGTTGTTTAAAAAAGAGATTAAACTGCTTTCTTTCAGATTTTACTTAAAATAAAATTAATATCATACATATCACCACTTTGTCTTTCTCTTTTCGTGTGAATGTCAAAGCATATCCAGAGCTTTGGGAAAAGATGGTGATGACTGCATTGAAAAAAACAAAACAAAAATACACAAATATTACAACTGATCAGTTTTTACATTTATTTTACAGTTGCAGTTCTAGGTCAATTTTCATTTATGATAAAAAAACACATTCATATTCCTGTTAGTTTACTTTATATATCTATATATAAATATAAATATAAAACAATATTCACAATGGCAGCTGAATGGATATTTTATGGAAAAACAAAGGCATACATTTTAAGTGTTTGTACATGAAGGGATGTTCGGCTGGCCCTCTGTCCATCTCAGCCGATTCATTCCTAGTTTGTAACACAATATTTCCAAAAACAGGCTGTAAAGGTATGGAAAAAACTTGTATTAGTAATATAATAATGAATCCTTGACATGTTCTTTATATGAATGAAATCCGCATTATAATAATAGTTTTAATTTTTTTCTAAAACCTTGTCTCATTGTTTTTTGACATTGAAAGTGTTTTGACTATATATTGATATTTATACACACTAGTACATATGTATATATAATCTGCACTACATATATAGGAACCTCACCTCTCTTATTGTTTTTGGGCAAGCTTTGCTCAGATCGGAGATAGCCTTGAGAACGCAGGTTATCAGCTGCTGCTAGTTTTAAAACAACTGCTTTTAAGTCATCCACCTAAAGACACAGACCAGACATTATGATTCAGTACCATATGAAAAAAAGAAAGAAACACAAAGAGAATGATCATACCATGTTGTTCATTTTCTCTTGCTGCAAAATGTCTTTTGTACCTAGAAAGACCGAAAAAGTGAAAAACTTTAGATGCATGTTATCTGAATAACAACTGTCAAAGAGTCCCTGTCTCACCTCTTTGGATCAGGACAGGGAGGACATTTTTGATGTCCCTTTGCTCTGTTAAATCATTGCTTTGTCTCTCCTCGACCTCTGCCACCAGTTTCTGAATCAGTTCTGCAAAACAAAATGTCATATTTTGGTCATCATTTTAAATTAGTTACAAAAAAAGATGAAACTAAAAGTAAAACAATACATTTGAAAAAAAAAACTACACTGTAAAAAAATATTTTCATAATTTGTAATCACAAAATTTTTTCTTTTGTCGAATCAACTTAGATAATTTATATAGTTTAGATTTATACATTTAGATAACATTTAGATTTTTTGGTAATTAAATGAATCTCCTTCATTGTATTAACTGTATTGATTAACTTAAAATTTTAAGGCAACCAGGTTACCAACAACATTTTTTTTACAGTGATAGTTTGAATTTCCTCAATTGTCCAAAAACAGATATTCATTCTGTTTCAAGTTTTTGATGATTTTTAAAAGTTGTAGTGGAAAGATTAAACTGTGTCATAATAAGATCAAGCTTGTGGGTGTTTATAAAATCTTCCCTTTACTGCATTTAAACACTTCCTTTTTAACATTTACATTGGAAGCAGAAGAGACATGAAGCACTCAGCAATGTCTAATAAATGTACAGTCACAGTTACTCCACATGAGCTTCATCATACATTTAGCTGGATGTCCAGCCTCAACAAACATCATGAGCTTGCCAACTTATCAAAAGCACAGAGTTGATCTCACCTTCCTGCTGTGGCAGAGCTGTGTCCGAGTACAGAGGCAGAGCATGAGTTCTCCGCGCAGAGCAAACCACAGCCAGAATGTAGAGCAGTGCCAGTGACAACATGTTGAGAGGATCACGGGGGACTTCGGTCTTCAGTGCTCTTGCCCCAGCCGGCATCTTCGGTTTTATATCATCCGAGGCCATCTATCCTGAAGGGATCAATACTGCTCATGTCACCCCATCCCAGTGTAAATGGTTTTGACGTAATGTCCTCTCGTCATAGACACAATTAAGAGTGTGCTGTCGATTCAGACAGAGCCTATCTCTGCTTGCACAGAGAGCACTAACAAATGTTTACTAGTGACTGCTCTGACGCCCCAGATTCTTTATGTCTCCTGACATTGCATTATTTTACATTTTAATTATTATTTTTAAACTTTAAACTATAACTTGCTCGGATGTTTCATTGGTTACACTTTATAGGTGTCTTATAAAAATAGTAATAAGTAATTGTAAGGTACAGTATTAGTAATTTTGTGTTCATGTATTGGAATACATTTTAAGGGATACGGGTAAGGTTAGGGACAGGTTAAAGGGTTACGGTGTAAGGGAAGGGTCAACGTAATTACACGCAGGTATTTAAAAAAATATAAATACAATGTAAAAACATGGACTGTATGTACACAAGTGCATGCTATCAAATGATTAATTTAAATGTTAGCACATGTATAGCTAAAGAAGTAACGCGTCCTTTTACAGTCCAGTTACCCATGTAAATACTATGTACTAATTACTGGGTAATAACTAGTACTAACCCCAAACCTACCCCTAAACCTACCCCTGTTCCATGTACTTACCTTATATTAGCCAGTACTTTCTAAGGTAAGTAAGGAAGCGGCACCGCTAAAGACTCTTAATATAAAGTAGGATCGAAGCATTTGTTTATTTTTGGGATAATTCTGTTCTCAGTGACATCAAAGTTAGATCCTGTTACATTCAATCCTTGTTACACATTCAAAGCAATCCATGAATACCCTCTTAAGCACCAGATGACGTGTGTCCTGGGATATTGCTATTGGTTTCTCTTTTGCTGTATTTATCAAAGTGAAAGGTATATAATACGACACAAAGGTTTGATGACAAATGAACAAACAGTGTAGTGCACTGATGGATTGTGTCGTCTCTGAGTTTCTGAAATTGCAGTTGAAAGTGTTAAACCGTAACATCTCTCATCTTCAACCCTCTTTGTGTCCAAAAACAGAAAGAAACAAAACAACAAGAACATAATAAAGAACAATTGTGTGTTTGTGTGTGAAGAAAAGCCAGATTTGACATATGAAGCCTTCAGATGCAAAAGCCTAAGAGCCATCTGAAATGTTCTTCTAGAATAATCATTTTTATCAGGCTTATGTTGATGTTCAGTTATTTCACTTTAATGGCATCGAAAATTACCTATTAATTGTCATTAAAGTGAAATCACTGAAATTAAATATTCAAGCTCGATGAAAATGCTAATTTTAGAAGAAAATTTCAGATGGCACTTATGGTTTTTGCGTCTGAAGTCTTCATATGTCAGTAGGCCTTAGCCTATTATTAGTAGATTGAAGAGAATGTTTCCTCAAAAACAATAACTAAATGTGGTTTAGTTAAAGGTTGTATCAGCGATTGCAGGCCCAAACAAAAAATATGACATTCATCTAATCTCTCCTAATGATCCGCTAGCTGCCCACTCCATTCACAGGCTGTCAAAAAACAAAAAAAAACAAAAACGCGTCTGTATAGGCAGCCTAGGCTCTGAGATCTGCACACAAAAAGAAATGGGTACAACCACCACTCAAAATCAAAATAAACCGTGTTCAAACCAATCACCGACAGGGGCGGGTGTTGTTTGTCGAAGTCGAAGCTGAAGAATAAGCCAGCGTCTACCAACCCTATGCTATCAACGGACCAGATACATTTAACATGGAAGAGGCAATCCCCAAGAAGAGAAAGGAGGATTAGGGCGAGGGAATAGCGAGGGAGTCGTTTTTCATCAAAGAAACAAATAATAATCGGGAAGGCTTTTGAACGGTGGAGAGAACTCAAAGAATTGAACATTTTTAAATCGGACGCTGAGGTTGCAGTTTCTTCTGGACAGGTGAGTAGCTTCTAGTGCTGACTTTTTTGTCAAATTCTTTAAAAAATATGAGTGAAGCTCGACTAAACTTGGATAGCTCTAGCGAATATCAGATTGTAGGGATTTAGTGTGTAAGTTGTAACATAAAAACTAAAAACAGCAAAACTAAAAACGTTGCATTGATACACGTTTTCCCGTTACCATCAGTTACACTGTGATGAAGGTGAATTTCGTGTAGGATTTATAACATATACAGTGTTTTACATGTAAGAGAGCTTCCACGAAAGCACTGTTGGCGTCACTTTCCACCCCTGGTTGTTGCTGGAAAGCCCCGCCAATATTGACTCTCGTCTGACTTCTTGCTTTATCCAAAGACTTGTTGGTCATAGCCTTTTCAAATAATGTCTTCCTTTTTTGCCTGGTTTTTCTTCGCTGACTGTATATGCAGGTAACTAGGAATTTTGACTGCTCTTTCTCTGCCATAATTGTGATTCTTCCTTGCTTCCGTGCCTCCTCCGCCCCTCCTCGAGCAAACGTGTGTGCGCATGTGGGCTGCTCTTACGCAGCAGTGCTGGTAGCCATGGTAGCGAGGGAGAGTGAAAGTCGCCCAGCCAATCATTTCTTTCGTCCTGGTTGGGACACGGCTCGGGCCGCTATGAGTGTGCTGTGCGGCGCTTACCTGGTTCCACGGAGCAGGAGGTGCAGGATTTGTCCTCCCGGCCCTCTTTCGGGCAAGGGAGCGGTGAGGCCACAGTCTCCTAGAGAGCAGTTCCATCCATCTCTCGTTTGCCCGTCCTGGGGCTACTTGCCTCTGGCTTTGCCGCCCTTCTTGGCGGGGACCTGGACAGGCGGGGTGGCCTGCCGGCGACTGGCTCTACTGCGCCGTTTGGGGAGCAAGGGAGCAAGGGGAGAAGCACAGGACACCCCTGGCGACGAGCAGACTGAGGCAGGAGGTGTCTGATGACCTCAGTCTGCTTCTGTACAGCCGAGAACTGCTGGGCGAAGTTCTTGACCGCATCGCCAAAGAGGCCGGTCTGGGACACGGGGGAGTTAAGGAACCGGAGCTTGTCGGTCTCCCTCATGTCGGCCAGACACAGCCAGAGATAGCGTTCCTGGACCACTAGTGTGGACATCGCACAACCCACCGACCGGGTGGAAACCTTCATCACACAAAGCGCGAGGTCCATTGCGGCACGGAGTTCCTGGAGAACTTGTGGATCATGACCACCCTCGTGCAGCTCCCTGATGGACCTGCAGCAACGCCATAGCATGGCAGAGGCAGCTTCCCCACAGGCCATGTATGCCTCGTCGAATGGATTCGACGAAAACAGCTGCTAAACAAAGCAGTGCGTGCTTACTGTTTTGAATATCAATCCTACTTAACACTTGATTTATTCCACGCCACTCAAATTAAAATTAAAAAATTATGCAAGGAACAGCCTTCTGTCTGTACCGTTTTGACTTCTTTGCTCGCTGTTTTGTTATTATTCTCCTGCACTGACTCTTTCACTAAGCTAAACAGCCAGAGTTCCCTCTTTCACTGACATTAACAACAACAAAAAATCACTTTATACACTCACCTAAAGGAATACTAGGAACACCTGTTAAATTTCTCATTAATGCAATTATCTAATCAACCAATCACATGGCAGTTGCTTCAATGCATTCAGTATTTTGGGGTCAAAACGTTGGCTGCATTTATTTGATAAAAAAAATACAGTAAACACAGTAATGTTGTGAAATGTTATAGCAATTTAAAATAACAGTTTTCTATTTGAATATATTTTAAAATGTAATTTATTCCTGTGACGGCAAAGCTGAATTTTCAACATCATTACTCCAGTTGTTTGTGTTACATCATTAGATGATCCTTCAGAAATCATTGTTAATGCTGATTTGATGCTCAAGAAACTTAGAAAAGTACTAAGACTTTTGTGGTTACGCAATAAAAGTGAAATGGAATAAACATTGTGGAATAAGAGTGCAAATTAAAAAAAAATCTTACTAATTCTAATCTCTTGAACATAGTGAACAATATTGTACCTTGTCTCTTGTTGTGCTGAGCCTGTGTAAATTAAAGGACAAGATAAAGCTTGCTTCAAGCATTTTAAAAGAAATGATATACAAATGTACTGATAAACGCAATTCTTAACATTTCAACACACTGCTAGATCACAGATATGTTCTTATGATAAATGTTTAACCATTTTGTTAAAACAGTTTCCATGAGACTATGCAACATTCTTCCTTAAAAACACAGCATAGAGTTATGTTTTCACAAAATGAAACTTTATTACAAATAAGGAACAATGCAAATGACTCAGAGTGATAATCTTCGGTATTGCACAGACCTTGTTTTATTGCACTCGACAACATACAAATATCTTTAATAATATAGACAGAACTGTAACAAATGGTGAGAGTAATAATGAGCCATATCATCATTATGTGACGTTTAAAATGAAAATAAACAGGGAAGAACTGAACCCTAAACAGTGGCATAATAATATGCAGTCAGGCCGTAACTTGTCATGTCAGTTACTATGTTTTTCTCACATTAATTTAATTAAAACATACTTGTTATCATGAGTGGTAGGATAAAAATCATCAGGACATTTAAGAAGAAAAATTAAATAATTTACAAATTTTCCTCATTAGTATTAAGAGAACTGCAAACCACACGCAATAAAATATTGACTATTGGTACAGGACTTTTTAAGCAATACAAATTAAATATACAATATAACTAAAACATAAGCATGTTTATTGAGGATACAAAGTCAAAGGTAAAAAAAAAAAATATCTGTATCAGAATTAACCAAATAAATGTAAGATCAAACAATGGATGACTTTGATTGTTAATATATTATATTATTAATAATAATTCGATATCCGTGTTGTATTCGAATTCAAGGTTTCCAAGGGAACCAAGGTTACGGGGTTTTGTGTGCGCATGCGTAGAGAGAGTGAGTGAGACAAAACAATAAAGAGGTTATCGTTCCGAGCCCTGGTGTGGAATTGAACTTATTGTTGAATTGAATAGCTAAAGCCCTTCAACAGAACAATCTGTTCCATAGTATGCAATACATGATTATATTTTTTTGGTGCAAAGGCCAATTAAGGTCTGTTGTTTATAAAGGTGTCATTCATAGTGTGAAAATATATTTATTAAATTATAAAAACTGGTGTATAAAGCAGTTATTTGTGAATAATGACTACATTTTAATTTTACAATTTAATTAATTGTTACTTTCTCATGTTCATAGTTCATGATGGACTGGTAATACCAAACTCTGCCACTTCGCTTTGTTTCTTAGACAGCTCGGCATAGCATAATTGAAAAGTGTTTTCTTTCTCGTGGCATGGTCTGCTTGTCTAAAGTATAAAATCATTGGCTACCTGTAAACCAATCGCATAACGTTAGGTTATGACATGTTATTCACCAGCTCAGTCGCGTCGAACCACTGTAAACATATAATGCGAAAACGAAACCATCGAGCAGAATACCATAGTGAGCATGGCTGACCGAGTTTTGCTGCCTCCTTAACCTGATCCTCCATGAGTGCAACCAAGGGGGGCACAATACCAACTATCCCCTTGCCGGACTTTGGCCTCCCCAGTTTCTCGCTGATGATCGGTAATAGTTGATAACTTAAACTTTTCCCAAAACCTGTCGGGAGTAGGGCCACAACATAACCTCCATTCAAAAAGCTTAACAAACACTCTTCTTGTTTGGGCTTCAGTTTGCAAATGCTGGGAATATTCTCCACAACAGAGCGAAATGCATCCCGTGTCTCCATATCCACCGTCGTTTTCGATTTACCTAATCTAATATACAATCTTAAACTCGGTGCTTAGCGTCTTCGTCAAGGCTCCCAGCCTGCCCTTAATCTGTTGGTTGGCCGGCTGTTTTCAGGCCGGAGGAAAACGTCTCCGGTTACTTTCGTAACCTCAGTTCCCTGAAAGGCAAGGAACAAGACATTACGGATGTCGTATATGGGAACTCCTCCCACCAAGGCTTCTCTGGGCCGTCCGCTTCTTCCCTGGCCTACCACCTGGGGAAGCTCAGAAGCTGCCAGGTCCGGGGCAGACCGGGCCCACTCGCTACCCAGTCGGTCTCAGAGGCAGAAACATGGAGTTCTCTTCCTTACTCACCCCGAAAGACACAAAGTCCTCATTGTTCCTTAAAAAAAAGGTGGATGAAAGGTGGCGGCGGGGAAACTCACCGGAAGCCGTATCTCGACTTCGCGGTTGGGGGGCCCCACCAGTGGCTCGGTGGCGGCAGTGGGCCCAATCCCCGCTGCTGCGCAAGCTGCATCCCGCCTGGCCTTGAGAGCTCATAGGGACATATCCGTCCTTGAGGGCTGACTCAGCATGGGCCAGCCCTAAGCACGCGATACAAAACAGGTGCGTGTCCGGGGGCACGATGGGGCCCAAGCACAAATTGCAGATAGTCACCATCAGACGCAGAAGACAGTTCAGCGTATCTTCGGTGCACTTTTGACGACGGCGAGAAAAATCCTAAAGTAGTAGATATTAGTATCAGCTTTCCAGCACACGATTTGAGCGTGAAGAGAGAGAGTCTGACGGAAATTGGCACTGCATCTTCATTTATACTGCAACGGTGTTTCAGTATTTGCATATTTGCGTCAATTGGCCAGCTCTGCTGGCATTAGCCTGTAAGATTTCAGCAGAAGTGAAGAAGGGGAGGATTTCCCATATACGACATCCATAATATTGAAGTTCAGTAGCCTTGATGGGGAACTGAGAGACATGTCGATGTACAGAAGCTAACTGAAATTGAGCGGAAGTACGAGGTCTGAGGTCGTAGTACGTAGTACGAAGTACGAGGTCGTAGTCAGGCTAAGTTCGTGTTGCAGTGGGGCACAAAAGTAACTTTTTCATTACAACATGTCAAAATGTGCAAAAAAAGTGACACTTTATATAAAACTCTGCATGTTTGGTATGTAAACACCAAAGGCAGGTGATGTTTTTGGTTAATCAGAAATACTATAACAAATGCCTTCCAAAATACCAGATTATTTTCTTTTTTTTAAGGAACAACACAAAAAGTGACAGACTGCTATTAAATTCACTAAGGAAAATACTCAAAACCACATTTTTAAATAAATAAGGCAATGTAATGCAATAAATTGTATAATATTGTAATTGTATAATAATATAGGGTGACCAACAGTCCTGTTTTCACGTCCTGTCCTGGCTGTTTTATAAAGTGATGAAAATGTTCTGGTTTTCCAAAGACTGCTGGGAAAGATCAGCTCTACAGCAAAATATAGATGGGCAAACAAGGAGGATGAGGAAGAAAAACAGGGTAAAGAGGAAGAAAACTAAAGATATAAATATATTTTGTTAGTTCGTTTTTGTAAGTTTGTGAGAGCTATTTTTGTTCAATTTTGGAGGTATTTCTTTTAGCAATTTATTATTTATTTTTCTAATACAGTAGAGACATTATTTCTATCATTATTTCTTTCATTATTTTTTAAACCTGTCATAATAAAACATGTTGAGTAACCTCTGAGAAGCCTATCTGAATTTGTGTCTTGTAATATAACAATTTTCTATCCATACAGAGGAGGCATAGCCTACTTTTATATGTATTGAAATTAATAAGGCATCTTTGAGTAAACTTCGAGTATCATTTGAGTAACTGTTTGCCGGCCCGAGTGTCCTGGTTTTCGGTAATCAAAATGGTCACCCTAGTTAATAGAAATCTTTCTTTCAGTAGTAACACTTTTCCAATATCAGTTTTTTTTCTTCACATCACGCTTGACTGTGATTACAAGATTTCAGAATAAAAATATGCAAAAGGCGAGGTTAGAGGAAGTGTTCTGTGTGCTGTAAACATTTAACACTGCTTTATAAATTCATCACATCTTGTAATTGAAACTGATTTTTGTTTTCTTAAAGTAGAATGTTAAGTAGAAATGTTTCAGAGGTACAGTATGCAGTACAGTCTCCTTGAGTTTGGCAGCACTGTCTAGCAGGTGATTGGCTTGAAGCCGTGTGTAGAACTTGACTGTTCTTAAAGGCACACTATGCAAGAATTGTACCTTAATAAAACAGCTTCAAAGTCATTTCGGTGGCAAACAAACTCATAGTAGGGCGAATCATCCTGGTAAAGGTTGGGGGGGACGCCATTGTGAAAACCAGCCATTCAAGTTTGACAGAGAAGCCCCCGACAAATCTTGCAAGAATCACGAAATGCTTTACGGCAACGACGTCATACACATCAACAACAACATATGAAACATGAAGAAACTTGCGTGCATTTCAGAGGTGATACTCCAAGATGGAAAAAGCAAATAAAACGTGGTCGGAAAAGACTTGAAAAAGGAAAAGAGAATTTGACCGTGTGAGGAAACGGAAAAGAGTGCCACTTGGTCGGGCTTTCACTAGTTGGTGGCAAGACCTAAAAAGCAACACTGACAGCGATGCTGACCTGGCGATCTTGTTGATGGATGAAGTAAATCTCTTATTTCTAAACTTGTTTGCGTTCTATTTTGTATGTCCTTTTTTACGATACTGTTCATTCACCCACTGTTGATAATTAGACCAGTCCAATAATTTCCACATATGTCTAGCTAGCCATTCACAACAGTGCAAGTATTCCACAGTGACTAAGGGGTCACTGTTTGACAAAAACACAATTTCGACATAGTGTGCCTTTAACGTACCAGAGCAGAGTCACGGTTCAAACCATGGCTGAAATAACCGCTACTAATAAGGCAGTGACTGGGGCTAAAATATGTTTATCTATGACTAGATCTATCCTACAGTCAAGCAAAATACGAACAGTGTGATCTAGAGTTTCTCAAAGCAGATGGCACAGAGCAGGAAGATGACATACAGGAACATAAGCCCAAGACCTAACCTCCGGTCCAGCCTCCAGTGGTTCAGGTGCACGCTCAGTACCTGTGCAGACAGACAGAAAACAGACCATGTACATGCCATGAGACAAACATTACAAAATAATATGTGGCGAGAGTTGTCAAATAGTCAATGATGAACTTACAGTGAGAAAAACAGAAGCGAGAAGGAGAATCACAGAGTACACCAGCCCCTTACTGTTAATGAAGACCTATAGGAAGACCAGGGGAAACTGCTGTAAGAACACGGCTCACAACACGCAGAACCAGGGTAAACAGTATTCTAAACATTCTGAAATTTGCTATTTGTCAGTGTTAACTTAAACCTGAATTTTTTTTTAAACCTGAACTAATAAAAATGACAAAAGCACAAACTTATTACACTAAAATTTAAATAAAACTGTAAATATAAAAATAAAAATAAAAGCTAAATTCAAAATATTAATAAAAAATATAATAGTATATAAATAACACAAAAATACTGCACAATACACAAAATTATCTTTCACATGGCGAATCAAATAGAAAGGATAGAATAAGGTCAAATTAAGGATGGAACAGAAGGAGTCTCAAGATTTTTAAAGTCCCTGTGAAATCAAAATTGAACCTATTTACTTTGTTAGCGCATATTACTAGTCTTGTGGTGAACAATTAATCCGTGCAAGTAAATATATATTAAAAAAATGTTTTACCTTGGTAATCTTTAATCAAAATCTGAAAGGTTACTTCCGGTCTGGAATGGTTTCTTTTTCTGATGCTTGGGTGTTTTATAATCTTACAATTTTTTCATGTTTCTAAATGCTATTCTTTGGGACTTTCTATTCTCTTAAAATCCTTTAAAAAGTATAACGGTTTCCACAGAAATATTAAGCAGCACAAGCATCTTCAACATTGATAATGATAATAAATGTTTCTTGAGCATCAAATCAGCTTATTAGAATGATTTCATTTGACACTGATCATTTGAGTAATGATGCTGAAAAATCAGCTTTGCCATCACATAAATAAATGACATTTTAAAATATATATTGTAGAAATGGTTCTTTTAACTTTTACACAATATTACTGTTAGCTGAACGCTTAACCACTCCCCTCAAACCGTTAGTTTGCTATGAGCGAGAGATGGAGAGGAGGAGCGCTAGAGTAAAACCCTGCCCTCTGTTCAATATTCCGTTTCACTTGGAAATACGTCACAGCACTGGAGAAAAATCGTTTGCAACTTCCGGTTCATGGGGACTTTAAGTTGTCTGAAAATATTTATTTGCTTTAAATATATTAATTTAATTTCATTATTAAATATTTTTTTTATGATTATTTTATTATTATTAAATAATAGTTTATGTTAGTTTTTTTTTACTTTAATTTAATTAAATTTTTGTGGATCCATCCAAAATTCTTTGAGAAAGAATCGGAATACATCACAGACTATCAGACCACAGATCTTTATCTCTAATTAAAAAACAAACAAACAAGAAAACTCACTATTGACCCATAATCAACTACTAGAGTGCGCAAAGCCCATGGGAAACCAAGACCCAGCAGAATGTCAAAGATGTTGCTGCCGATAGAGTTGGACACTGCCATGTCTCCCATACCTGCAGCACCAGACACATTCATTCATTCATTCATTCATTCATTGATAAAACTGAACATGTGGACAAGAAAAGGAAGAGTGGGGTGATCATAGCACCTTGACGGGCAACTATGAGACTAGCCATGCAGTCTGGGACACTGGTGCCTGCTGCTAGAAAGGTAATACCCATGACAACATCTGGAATGTCCAATGTAAAACTGATGATGGTGACCTGCAACAAAGATATTTTAAGTTAAAAAAAAATCCTAACAGACCATGTTACATATTTTGAAAAAAACAAACATTTCCACATGGTGTCTTTGCAGTGACAATGAGCGCCGAAGGGCTGATCTCACCATCCACACCATGAGGTAGGAGAACACGGCAATCCAGAGTGTTGAGGCCACAAAGGTAACCATAAACCAGCGCTCCCAGCGCGGCAAAACACAGTTAGGGACAGTGTAGTACAGCAGGCAGCCTAAAGGCCATGAAAACAACCACTTCACTTGCTCCCAGCGCCCCTCTGTGGATAAAAGTACTTCAAATCATTAGCATTTCATGCAAGGCTCCTTAACGCCATCTACAGGACAAAGAGAGCATCACATACATTCAAATGTCACAGAACAAAGACTGACAATATAGACGATGATACTTGAATGAAACATTAATGATCTCTTTTTATTTTCCTTTCTTTTACTGAAACGTTTCAAAGGGATCCCTTTTGAGCTTTTCAAATTGCATCTTCAGTAACATGTTCAATTGTTCAGTAGTGATGGAGTTCATTTGATTGCAAGGCGCATTAGCCCCGAGCGATTTAAGAGCTCTCTTCACTTTTCTGTAATCATAACACTAGTGTACAAAACGAAAATGCATGGTCCCATTATCTAGAAATGGCTCTTAGACTAATGGATCATGGTCCTTAATGGGCAAAAAATGAGGACCATTCTCCTAATCAGGATGTGAGGGGAAATTTGAGACAGATGAACCACAATAAACTCAATGTGTTGTCCTGTTATTCTGAATAATCTGAATAATATTTTAATTAAGGGAGTGGTGAGAGTGGTTATGCACCACATGATTCAGTTTGTTTTTAATTCAGGGAGTCATAATCAAATTCTAATATGATTCTGGATGAATCAAATTTTTCAGCAACATCACAGAGTACTATACGGGTTCCACAAAAAAGCTTACTTGTTTCATATATTAAAAATATTCATATTATATAATATTTATGTCACTATTGTTAATTGTGGAGCGATTGCGAATTGTTTAAGAAAAACATTCACTCACCTGGCACGGTAAGAGGTCTGAAGGGTTGTTCTTCATCTGCCTCTTCTTCTTCCTCTTCAGGCTGAGCATCCTCTATATCTGCTACACGTTCTAACTCCTCTCCTTGGCCCCTCTGTCTGGGTTCCTCCAGGGGTTGTGTTTCACTCTCAATGGCCCCTCCATTCTCCAGACCCCAAGGAACCCCCTCCATGCCTGGACCATCTTGGCCGGCAGTGTCCCCTGATCCGCTGCCACTGCTGTCTCCAGGGCTCCTGTTTCGAATTAGTCTCTGCCTCTGTGGAAGACAGGCAGAAGATGTGAGAGATGTACACAGTGCAGAGGAGACCCAATATGATCCCCTTCAACCGAATGAGATTTGGTTAGATGTGAAATGGTGAGTCAAGCTTGCAGAACACACCGCAAGACCAAAGTAAAGCGCAGTCCGTTGGGACCTCTTAAAGATGACATGCAAGAGCTGCAAGAGTCAAGCCAACAAGCAAGTCATGTAAACAATTGTAGATGGAATACAGCATTTGCCCAAACAAACAACAAAATGGTGGTTACAGAGTAGTCTGAGGATGCCTGAACCTATAGATAGAAATGCTATTACTGACATTTGAAGAGTATAGAGGAAATGACAGCAGACGTTCTGAGGACTGGATCAGTCACCATAATACCTGTTGCAGATGTTACAGTGGGAGGGCCGTGTTAAAGGACACATAGGAAAGAGAAACTATAAATGAGATCTCTTTATTATTTCTCCAAGACAGCAATGACATTAAATGAGCTCAAATGGAAACTCCTGCTTCTCAATTTTTTCTACTGAAGAAAAAAAAAACAATAGCATTTTTCTTACTAAATGTGAACAATTTCTCACTAAATGTGAACTAAATGTGAAAATACAAATCTCATTTGTATCTATTTTAAACTCTCTTAAGGAATTTTAGCAGAAGCACTGATTTTAATTTCTTAATCTATTTTTCTTAGTTTTCCTGTTTCCAACTATTTTTTTATTTAGTGAACCTAAGCGATATTATGATTTGAGATTAAACACTGTATAAACATAATAAGTCTTTATAAGAATGTATATATTGATTTTTTTTTCTATCTCAACTGACTGAACCGTTTGATTTATGCTTAAAACAAGGGAAAAAAATGCAAGAATTTTGCAAATAAAAAAAGATGAGACACTATGTACACTGTCAGTATGATGATTTTTTTTATTGATTATTCTTTTATTTAGCAAAGATCCAAAATATTGGACTGATCAAAAGTATCAAGAAAGACATTTATAATGTTACAAAAGATTTTATCTATTTTTATTTGTTTCAAATAAATGTTGTTCTTTTGAAATGATTTATTCATCAAAAAATCCAGACCTCCTTTTAAAAAACTTTTGTATAATTACTGGAAAACAAGAGAAATTTATTGTTTGCAGCAACCTTTTTAGCTAGTTAGATACACAAATAAACCATACATGAGAATTATATTAATTGCGTCCTTTAATCCATACATGAAATTAGCCTGATAATTTATATTCTTGGTTGCGCAGCTGAGGTGTTGCTGTCTCATCCAGACATGCAAAAAGCGAGCAAGCATCCAGCCAGTACCTCAGTGATGAGCATGCGTCCGGCCATGCTGAGGCGAGTGCGGGGGGAGAAGTGGGGCGTGATCATGACACGGAGGCTTGCCTCTGAAAAAGAGAACTGGTGAGGGTGTAGACTCATCAACTCATCCACCATCACCACCGGGGAGTCCTGGCCACCCGCATTCTGACCTGAGAGAAAGAGAGACGTGGTACTATATAATGCACAACCTCTCAGTATGATCCACACAGCTCCACCCTCCACCCACACACCTTTCTTCAAGAGGATCATGGAGGTGTCACAGTGGGGGCTTGCCTCTCCTACCGACACATCTCTGCACAGACTGCTCACCAAACACGGATGACCTGGGATACCAAACCTCTGCTCCACCCAGCCCAAAATCTGACTGTTAAACCTGGAAATGGACACACACAATCTAATATTATATATTGTGGACATTATGCGCCGACCAAAAACATAAGTATGTAAATTAGTTAAATAAATACATATTACAAACATACTTCCATAATAGTATAAATCATATTTGACTGGTAAGTAATGTAAATGTTAAATACTCACTTCATGATAAGGATGTAAACTCCATACATTGATATGAGGATTATAGTCTCCCACCTACAACAGAGATATTTATATGAACAGAGATAGATATATATACATGCATGTTAACTACTTAAATGTCAATGAATATTAATATTCCATCTTTATAATGAATTTGACACACTTACCAGATTACTTTATCATCATATATGATCTGAAATACACACCAGTAAATACATAAATGTCCTTAATTAACTGTGACTACAAAATACAGACAGATAAATATATAGTGCTGCTTACCAGAATCAAGGCCAGCACAGAGAGGATGTAGAAGATGGAGTCGCGGAAGAGCGGCCACCAGGTCAGCTTGATGGTCTGTGAAGCAGGAATGGTGAAAAGTCGCAAGAAACAAACAAAGTGAAACTGTAACGTTTTTTTATATATATATATTGAAACAAACATAATCCTACCTGTCCAGAAAATATTCCACAAACTCCGATGATGACCAGGATGTTGAAGACAGCTGATCCCACAATAGTTCCCACCCCCAGGTCTCCCTTGGTGATGAACACACCTGATATGAAGAGACAGCTACTTATTGACAACTTATTTACAGTAACAACACATTGTAAAAAAAAAAAAATAAACATTGACTGTTACTGACCGATCAAAGATGTGAAAAGCTCGGGTGCGGAGCTGCCTGCTGCCATGAAGGTGGCACCTGCAACATCCTCACTGAGCTGCAGATTCTGAAAACACAAACTTCAGCTCAGAACATGGTCTGCTATTATACAGTAACATTGAGATTCCTGCTAGTAGCAACTAACTACACTCACCGCGGAGATTTTTTCCAGAGAGGGGACAAAGTAGACATCGCAGACAATGGCAAGGGCATAGAACATATAAACTGCCTGTGGTCACAACAGCACACAGAAGACAGGTCAGCAGAGATCCATTCCTTAACTTTCACAAACACAGTGCTATCAAAGACTGAATCTTTCATTGTTAGTTATTTCATTATTTTCAATTTTGCTATGCATCATTATTACAAACAAGTCAAATCACAAACTATTATTCTACAAGTCAAGCTACAATTTAAAGTCAAATATAAAACTTGTACTACAAAACAACAAAAAAATAGGAAATTAACAGGTTATATCAGTTATATTATATCGGTAACACTTTACAAATACAGTCTCATTTGTTTACCTTACTTAATGTATTAACGAATAATGAGCAATGCATTTTTACAGCATTTGTTCGTGTTCGTTTAGTTAATGCATGTAAACTAACATGAACATGAGATTTCTAATAATGTTAACAGATAAAACATGTATTTTAGAAATGTATTGGTAAATGTTTAAATAAACATTAAGTTTAATAAATGATGCAGAAATATTGGTCATAGTTCATATTAACTACTGCAGTTAATGTTAAAGTATAAAATCTTTATTTTAAAGCATTATCACTTCGTTCCTGTTATGGCAAAGCTGAATTTTCAACATTACTCCAGTCTTCAGTGTCACATGATCCTTCAGAAATCATTATAATATGCTGATTTGCTGCTCAAAAAACATTTATTAGCAATGTTGAAAACAGCCGCTTAATATTTTTGTGCATATATTTTCAGGATTGTTTGATTAATAGAACATTCAAAAGAACAGCATTTATTTGAAACAAAAATATATTGTAACATTATAAATGCCTTAACACTTACATTTGATCAATACATACATACTTGCCAAATAAAAGTATTAATGTCGTCTTTTTTTTAAAAAGACCCTAATATTTTAACAGTAGAGAACTTTTCCTGACACGGTCAATCATTGGACCAAACAGCTCTCGGTATATTTATCAATATAGTTGCATACTTACACAAAACACATGCAGTAGAATTGCCCCATGCCTCCTCTGTCCCTTAGTGAAGATGTCCTCTGGAAATTCATGGATAGCTGGGTGGAAAAGGGAACATTTTTTAAAATGGAGATGGGGTTAAAAGACCATTAGGAATACAATAGCACAGAGAAACTATGCAATCCACAAAGCAAGGCTTACAATATTATGAAACCCCCTTAACAGCTCTGGTCTGAACTGAAACGGATGCTAATAACATTTAGCACATTAATGTTTACAATAAAGATTGCATCTGAGAGCGCACAGTGGCTATAAAACATTTTAAAATAGTTGTGGTTTTTTTTTTGTTTTTTTGTTTTTTTTTGGCCCTAAAAATTGCGACTGATAAGGGAATATATATCCATGCATATTTAGATGTAAATACAGTATTACAGATGAAAAAAAAAACAAAAAAACAAAAAACAAAAGGCAACCAAGAAAGTTGGATTTAATCTGCAAAAACACTAAACTATATAGTGCTGTGCTTTCTCACTTCATTGATGCGCTGTAGCCTTTATTAAGAGAATGTACTGCATTTAACTCAAGGTTGTTAAGAAGCTTTTGTCTATTGTAACTAAGTGGCAATTGAATTGACCATCCTTTAAGCCAATCTGTAATAGTGCAGAGAGGCCAGGAAGAGAAGGCCTAGTTAAATCAGAGGACTGGTAATACTTTAGCCCACAGCTTCTTGAGATGCAATCAGCGTGAAGACTGTTCTTGCTCTGACTGCCTTAAAGAGGCCAGCTTTCTAATAAACAATCATGTTTATCAAATTAAGAGACGGGGGAGGAAATCACACCCCTTTAAATGCATAGAATAATAACAATTTTCTTTTTTGAAAAAACCTTTTTTAAGGTTTTATAACGTACAAACTTTCTAATTTCCTACATGTATCAATTATGTTAAGTGCAATTTCACTAGATAATATGCCAAATGTAATGGGGAATATGTCTTGATTATTCTGAGCAATAACATCAAATCTGTTATTACAATGCATACTGTAGCTGGAACCAACAGCTGCTCAGTTACATCTAAGATTAAATTTACTCCCTTATTGAATTTCATAAATCAGAAGGATTTATGAATAATTGAAGAGGTGTAATGATTTTAAAGCCTTTTAAAGCATTATATTTTATTACATTTGTCCACCAAAAGTGATCTGCTCAGCCTACACTACCACTGATACATTAGTTAGCTGTTTTTTTTTTAAATATTTATAAGCCTTGCAAACAACTTTCACTAAATAGAAATGACATATAAGCACGAATAATATTATATAGAGATGAAGTATGTCATCAAAAATGAAATAACTTCATTTAATTCTTTTGTGATGTGTGAACAATGCAAGCAAATAATAAATAGTTAAAACAGCGTTTTTTTATGTTGTTAAAGTGAATTATATTCAGTAAATGAAACACATTGGGATAGTTCACCCTAAAATGAAAACTAAGTCATCATTTACTCACCCTAGGGTTGTTCTAATGCCGTATACCCTTCTTTCTTTTCAGGACCACAAAAGGAGAATAAAAAAAAAAATGCCCCATTTGTTCTCGTCCATATAATGACAGTGAATAACCACCAGCATCAAGCTTTTTTTTTTTTTTTTTTTTTTTACAGAATGGTTCCATGATACAGGCATCATATATTACAAGAGGCGGACAGAGTACACAGCTTTATTACTTGAGTAAAAGTACTGGAGTATCAGTACAATTGTACATTTTCTAAATATTGCATTACTACTGCCAACAGTGCTTACATTTACGTACAGACACATCATACATGGAGTTATGAAAAATGTTAATGTTAATACCTTGGAGAATGTAAAAGGAATTGAAAGTAAAATCAAGTCTTTTTACCATGTTGCTTTTTTTAACATCTAAGAAAATTTCAAGAAAAATTCAAAAAACTAAAATAGTGTGAATAGCGAGGTGGGGCGACGGGTCGGCACATTCACGGGATGGGCCGGCTGTGTCTTCATCCATTGTTTCATCCATGGTTTCGTCTCATGTTTAAATCTGACCATTGAGTTGACTTTGGTGGAAAGCTGAAGGTGATTGCTGATAGGGTGCCCCAATCAATGGCACCTGCACAATCCAATCACATTTTAGAGGGGAACAACAAATTGAGGGATTCCAAGATTTTTCTTTTTTCCACTTTTTATTTTTTTAGAAGTAGTAACGTAGTAATAGAAATGTAATAGGGAAAGTAATAGAAATGTAATGGAGTAAAGAGTACAATATTTCCCTCTCAAATGTACTTGGGTAAAGTAATGAGTGCCTACTTCCCAAAAATGATACTCGAGAAAAATACAGATCCCTCTAAATTGTACTTAAAGGGATACTCCCCCTTTTTTGGAAATAGGCTCATTGTACCACTCCCCCAGAGTGAAACAGTTGGGTTTTACCGTTTTCGAATCCATTCAGCCGATTTTCAGATATTTAGAAGAATATCAGTAACCAGACAGTTTCTGGTCTCATTGACTTTCATATATTTTTTTCCTACTAGTCAATGAGACCAGAAACTTTTACTGATATTCGAAAATCGGCTGAATGGATTCGAAAACGGTAAATCCCAACTGTTTAACTCTGGGGGAGTTGTAGAATGAGCCTATGTTTCCAAAAAAAAGTGGAGTATTCGGTAACACTTTAGAATACTGTATCTTACTTACTGCATAACTAATAAGGAATTAATGAAGAACTAATAGGTAATTCTTTATTAACACTTAAGTCACTACTGTTAACTACTAAGGAAGATGTGTTAACTAATCAGTATGTAATATAATTTTATGATTGTGTTAAGTATCAGTTAGTTAATCAATAGCTAATGAATTCTGTCATACTTCCCGAAGAACTACTATTAATTATCTATTAATTAAGGTTCAAGAAATATAACTATGAAGTAACTACTAATTAACACTCATACACAGTAGTCAGTTTGTCATTCTTCAGCACTAATAAGAAAAATAAGTGCAGACATTTACCTATAGACTATGATCTGCAAATAAGCAAAAACATCTCATGTATATAACACCTTATTATTATACTTAGTTCTTATACTTTTTAAACTTCTTTTGCACCATTCAAGTTCCGGCAATATGGCGGTAGCCACGTACACTGAGCCTGGGTTCTCCCAAGGTTTTTTTCTCTATTCCGTCACCTGATGGAGTTTTGGTTCCTTGCCACTGTTGCCTTTTTCACTTCTCTTCGCCTTTGTCGCAAGTAACTGTCGTGTATTTTACAAAGGTTTAGATGATTACGTTAATATATATATAGGCTAATATTTTTTATTTACAGTAAGTTTGATTTGAGTCAGAAGTATGTGGTAATTCTTTATTAATTGCTAATGGGTTCCCTATATTGTCACTTTAGAATACTGTTCCAGGTTCTAAGTAATTCCTGAAGGACTATCTAATAATTATTTATTAATTACTAATAAGTTCCTTATATTTTTACTTTAGAAGACTGTTTCAGGTTATAAGTAGCCTAATTCCTAGATAATTAATTTGATAATTATTTATTAATTACTAATGGGTTCCCTGTATTTTCACTTTAGAATACTGTTCCAGGTTCTAAGTAATTCCTGAAGAACTATTTAAAAGTTAATTATTAATTACTAATAAGTTCCTTATATTTTCACTTTAGAAGACTGTTTCAGATTATAAGTAGCCTAATTCCTAGATAATTATTTGATAATTCTTTATTAATTACTAATGGGTTCCCTATATTTTCACTTTAGAATACTGTTCCAGCTTCTAAGTAATTCCTGCAGAATTATTTGATACTTATTTATTAATTACTAATAAGTTCTCTATATTTTCAGTTTCCCTCAGTCGTTGCCTCAAATACATGAATTTACTCAGTGGCATTCTATGCTGAGGAAAACAGACACACACAGTACTGTATATAAAATATACAAATAATCTGAGGTTAGTTTTGTATGACTGTTCAGTAGTTACTTCTTAGTTATTTTTCTTGAACCTTAATTAGTAGATAATTAATAGTAGTTCTTCAGGAGGTATGACAGAATTCATTAGTTATTGATTAACTAACTGATACTTAACACAATCATAAAATTATATTACATACTGATTAGTTAACACATCTTCCTTAGTAGTTAACAGTAGTGAAGAAGTAGTTAATGAAGAATTACCTATTAGTTCGTCAATAATTCCTTATTAATTCTGCAGTAAGTAAGATACAGTATTCTAAAGTGTTACCGAGTATTCCTTTAAATACTCAAGTAAATGTACTGGCTCTGTATATTACACATATTGCTAAATGTCATACAACTCCTTGAAATCCCAAAACAAAATCTCTATACTTTCTTCACCGAGTTAAATATCTCAGATGACAGTCAGAATGGCAGTTGATGTGAATGCGATAGCTTTTTTTTTAACGACAAACAGAACGGATATACTCACCACAGAGAAGAAAGTACATGGATTGTATTTTATGTCACATTTTTATTAATCAACTTGGAGTGAATGTCAGCGCTAATAGTGTCATGAATGTGTGCCCTGCACCGAACACCAACGGACAAGGTCAGGATTTTTCGTAATACATTAAATTTCGTTTTGTTGTTCAACAAACCCTAACAAATACCACCAGAACACTTGGAATATTCGACACATGTTGCATGGGGCCATTCTGACATCTACATCTTGATGCTGATCGCTATTTACTGGCATTAAATAGACTGGACTATGGTCTGCGACCAGGAATTTTAAAAAATATATATAATTTCGTTTTTTTTTTTTGTGGTATGAAAACAAAAGAAAGGTATGCTGCATTAGGGCAACACCAGGGTGAGTTAATGATGACTTCATTTTTATTTTAGGGTGAACAATCCCTTGAAATGTAATTCATGACAGACTGCAGTATCATGTATAAAAGCAAGTATGCAAGGATCCATTAAGGGCTGCGGGAGATCAGAACTGTCACAAGCTTTAATACCCGAGGCACTGAACATTCATTTGTTGAAAAAACAACAACACTCACAATCTCATTTCTTAAGATGAGATCAATAAATCAAAAAGTGAGTGATTTGGAGAGTGGGAAATGAAAAAAAAAGGACAGAAATGGAAAAGGCGAAACCTCTGTCCATGAGTGATTTGTGGAGTTGATTGAAAGATAAAAAGGGCATATGACGAATCTCACAAAAGTGGCACACTTTGAATGCTTAAAACAGACTATCCTCAGTTCTGAAATTAGGGATTCTGTTGCTTAGTAACACAAGCCTCAAAGGGGGCTTGACTATGAAGAGGGCACCTGTCTCCATCAGTTCACAGAATGAGGAGGCAGGGGGGAAAGATAGCGAGATATGGACGGATTTATTCACAAAAAGGTGAATAAAGAGAGAGAGAGAGAGAGAGAGAGAGAGAGAGAGAGAGAGAGAGAGAGAGAGAGAGAGAGAGAGAGAGAGAGAGAGAGAGGGAGAACCGCTCAGGCTTTCACTCACCAGCTCTGGGTGTGCTTGATGTCTGGTTCTCATTGACGATTTGCTGGGTCAGTTTACGCCCAGCCCAGGTCAGGTCTGAATCCTCTTTGGAATGGGCTGTAAAAAAATGCATAACACATACATTTATCGTATCTAATCGGTTCAATATGTCCTTTTTTTATGAAAGGCATTGAAATGGCAAAAATTTAGCTTCTTAAGACAATATATATATATATATATATATATATTTATATATATATATATATATACACACACACACTCACACACACACACCCAAAGAGACAGTGCAGGGTACAAAAGTCTAGTAAAAATGCTTGTATTCTGAATTCTAATGCATTATAATTTGTTCAGGCTTTTGGACGGGCTATATCTAACTTAACTCCAACTTATTTAAAAATAGGAAAAAGATTGAGGAAATCAGAATGCTTCCTCCCATCCTCTAAGGTTTCCATGGAAACCTGATCCAAAAGCAGTGATTAATGAGTGGTGTGGAACTGGATTTGAGCCCAGAGAGGGTGTGGTTTACTCAAGAACCAAATGACAAAGATAGTTCTCATTTGCATATGCAAAGTAATCAGTTCCAAATATAACTGCAATAGGTTAAATGCCTTCATATGAAAGTATACACAATATTAATACTTTGGCACAGTAGTGATTCAAGAGAGCATGACTTACATAAACATATAACAGACTTATCTGACATATAACAGAAACCAACATATTTGAAGATTTTAGATTTTTTTTCAATTACGGGTTTACAGTTAACTTACTGTTAACTTTTTAAAGTCATCACCAAATATTTAATGGTCTATTGTCAATTGCTAAGATGTTAACATCTAGGCTATATTTCTGTAGTTTTTGACATGTCTATAGATCCACGTCTAAACATTCTTTGTGATTGACATGGTAATGTTCCAGTCTATTATTAAAGACAAGCTACAGTTACTAAAATCAAATCACAGTCTTTCATTCAGCTGTAAATTTCAAGGGCACTTTTTAGGAGCTGCTTAACATTCAGACTCAGCCTCCCAGAGGAACTCATTACTCACACAGACAAAGCTGGAAAAGTTAGAGGCACTGTGAAAAAAAAAATCAAATCATAAGCAACACAGAAGAACGACGACACAGAAGCAGGTCACATTATACATTTCCCCCTCCCTAATTTATGTCAGCATCTGTTTGTGCTTTTCGACAGGGTGTGGAAATGTCGCCGCTGGTACAACTCATGGGGAAGTTGACATACCTTGAGGTGTGACATGCTATATTCTCAATCATAAACAGCTTTCTCTCAAACTTTTATGATATACATCCAGCTCTTATCAGATCATTGTACGTCAATTAACTGTGAGTGCTATACTAAATATACTTCAAATATATTTTATCACTTTTTTGTCAGACCACAGTAACCAGTAAATGGCAAAATGGTGATTCAAAATAGCCAAAAATCAAAAGGAAATGATAAAGCACTGTAAGCACATGCACATGTTATGCATCATCTAATTGTCCCTATAGTCTTAAAATGACAGTTCACCTAAAAATGACAATTCTGCCATCATTTACTCACCCTCACGTCATTTCAAACCTGCACGGCTTACTTTATTCCACGATACCTAATAGAAAATATTTTGAAGAATGTTGCTGAAGCAGCTGTCCAAGTGATGCCCTTTAGAGAAAGGCAATTATGTGCCTGCTGTGGTCTGCCACCCCTGCAGTTCAGTTATTCCCTGCTGCTCTTCTCCTGCCCAACTCCTTTTGGGGTTTTGTTGTAACATCACTTGATGCATGTCAAAAATAATAGGTCCACATATTTCTGAGAACCTCTTGAACATTTTGTTTTTAATTTAGGGTGGATTGTTTATGGCAGTACCACACTCCCACAATTCTCACCCAGTTCTTCATTCCATGTGGGTCTAATTATTGGCTTTGACCACTATAGCTGCATAATATGGTTGATTTACAGCCACATTGCATCACAGAAACACATTATGACAGAAACTTGTTAATGAATCTCCACATCGCCAAGACAATGAAAAACACTCAATTGAGTGTGTGTGAATAAGATCGGGTTAGACGGGAAATACGCACAAACCAAACATTTAACAAAATATCATTAGCAGAGGAAATATTTGGGTTTATGAATGAATAAACGCACCTGTTACATGAAGAATTTGAGCGAAGCAGGTGATGGCGATGAGCCCGACAGCACATATCAAGAGCCGATAGAAGAGCCGCTGCCGTCTCGATATCAACACCGCCTTCATCCCTCCACCACACCTCTCAAAACATGAGAGAGAGAGAAGAGAGAAGCCCTCTTCTTTCATTCACACCACCTATATTGGCCTCTCTTTTCTACATACGGCGGACTTGCTTGCTTAAATGCAGCCATACGTTTGTCGCCCTAGCATCCCACTGCTTCCAGACACATCTTTCACTTACCGATATTTACCCCTTTCGGATGTTTAGTAACGTAACGAAACAGCGAAAATATCTTAAGCTATCATTGACCAAGAAAAAAAAATGTTTTTCACGTATTGTCTCAGCTTATAAGCATTCTTATCACATCCACCTCCATCTCTCTTTCTCGCTCTCTCCTCCCTCCACACACACGGCGCTCGACTCCGTCACCGAGGGTGTTTCCCAGACTCACAACTAACTGCGCCCTCATGCAGGGTTCACAAGAAGAACACCCTTGTCCAGCAAATATTCAGCTCTCTTGAGTGTTTTGACTATACTGTCCTCACAAAGTATTGGGGTTACTTTACGAATAAGGTACCAAATAGGCCCAGAAACTTTAAGAAACTCATTTTTTTTAACCACAGGGGGGTCTAACTACGTTTAGGATAGCTAGTATCTCTGCAATTTTCTACCTTATATTCAATCAACATTAAATAAATATTAAAAAGAGACAAAAACAAACAAAAAAACAACAAGACAAACAAACGAAAAACTTTAAAACATGGTTGTAATTAAGTAGTAGCTCACTAGTCACCCAGCAGGGACTTATAAGTCTGGGATGAAATAATGGTTTGAAGTTGATTAATTTATAGAAAAGATATATTTCAGTAAAATATTTGTTTTCTAACAATAATGTTGGTACAGTCTTGAAGCAGAGTTGCATTGGACAAATAATTATAAATATTTCCATTGCAAAAAAAAAACAAAACAAAATGGTATTTATTTTAAATGAAAGATAGCAAGCCCATGGAAAGACAAAACAAAAAAATATATAGTTAAACATTAAACTGAAGGTAAACAATATTCAGTGCCATACAAACAAAATTACATTTGTTGTATAATTCAGGACAAAAAAAGGTCAGCCTGGCATAAAGCACATTCACATTTGTTTGAATAGATTATTTGGCACATCAATGACAGTAAAACATTAAGAGCAAATTAAATAAAAGAGCATACCATTTTGATATTAAAATATTTCCCTTTTCAAAAAAAAAGTTTGCTTTACAAAAGCAAAGATTGCACAATAGAACCAAAACCAAAATGCATTATAAAATATTTAAAATTATATACTTGACATCCACCAAATTGACACCAATTAAAACCAATAACACTGGTGCAATGAAGAAAAACAATTGTAAAGTGAAATTAGAAATCAGGATTTCTGGCTGGTTCTTCAGATAAAAAAAAGAGCTGCTAATTGTTTGGTTTGAGAACAGCATGCAATTGCTGCCGCAGGCTCAACAACATGCCCTTCTGGATCAGCTGGGCCAATGTAATGAAATTGCAATGAGAAAAAACCTAGTGCGCACCCTACTTCTTGTGCTCAAGTAAACCAGTCACCTTGAAGTTTATGCCGTCTCCTGGAAGCGGGGAAGGTATCAATGGACAGAGCCAGCAGATGTACCAGTACTTGCCCAGGCATTCCCTGACATTGGCCAGCACTCCCAGGCTGTAAGGCTGCCGGGTGGAGTACCACTCACGTGTGGTCTGTCCCCTCAGCATCAGAATCACGTGAAAGAAGAGGAAGGCAGCAACCAGTAGGAAGCCCACTACACAAGTGTCAGCAATGAATGCAAAAGCAAACGCTCTCGCCGTCACCTGTCCTGTGATTGAAGAAAAACAGATGTTCATGAGATTTTTCTGACAGTTTAAAAGGTATCAATATAACACATAATGCATCATTTTATTTTTTGAGCAAAACTAATAATTTGCACTACCATTTTCCACAGCTTTCATGGACCTCAGAAGTAAAAAAAAAAAAAAATGCTGTCTTTTATACAGCATTTAGTTTATGTAAATAAGTAAAAGTTTGAAATATATAAAATAACTGTTCTCCATTTAATATATTTTAAAGAGTAATTTATTCCTGTGAAAGCTAAGCTGAATTTTCAGCATAATTACTCCAGTCACTAATACATGATCCTGCAGAAATCATTCAAATATGGTGATTCTATGCTGATTAGTGCTTACTGCTTAACCATAATTTTTTATTATCAATGTTGAAAACAGTTAATATTTAAAACTGGTGAAAACTGCTTAATATTTTTTTGTGGAAACAATGACAGATTATCAGTATTATTTGAGGAATAGGAAGACATGAATGTGTAACTTTATAAATGTCTGTACTGTATCAAATGACTGCTAAATAATAGTAAGAAAAAAATCTTACAGACCGCAAACTTCTGGGCAGCATAGGCCTAAGTAATGTTCTACTGATGTTATGGATTTATCATAGCAGTAGCAGACACTCATTAGTAATTTCATACTCACCCGAGACGAGCATGATCCAGGGCACAAGCAAAAGCATGACACTGTGAAAAGTGACACCCTCCTTTAGGATGACAATGAAGACCTCAGCATTCATGACTACTGCATAGAGCAGCCCTGCCCACATGAAGAGCAAACAGGTCAGGAAATACCGGTAATTGTGGAAACCGACACACTGGCCAAAAAACACACAGTGATGATCACGACGCAACACACACACGTTGCAATCGTAGCAGTGCGAGCATCGTGGAGGAGTGTGTGTCTCACAGTTGTAGCAGTACCTGCCATAGAAGAGGAAAATATCACATCATTATTGTTTACTGACTTTTGAGTGAATTGGTGAATACCACAAAAGCTCAAAGAGGGATTCAAGAGCATAATGATAAATAAATAATGCACAATCAAAACAAAACAATTACCTCCACCCTTGGCCCAATGCATCCCCTCCAAGAAACACTCCGCGGATACTTGGGTTAGTTTTTACAAACAACAAAGCATTCCAGGTAATATTTCCTAGCATGAAGTACTGAGCGAAGAGATGCATGGCCTTCCATATGTTGCACCACTCTGTCTTCTTCTCTGCTGGTTCAAGAGGAGCCTCCACCAGCACCAGATAGCTGACCTCGGCAGTGATGGAGAACACCAGAAATGCGTTCAGAACGATAGGCAAATGGCGACCGGTTGACTCCACCTTACACCATAGTCTACTCATGAACCTAGCCATGTTTTAAGCTTCAAATCATCCGTTGCGTGAGACGCTAACGTTACCTGTTCAACCTGTTTTCTACATGTAAAGCCACTCTATTCTCGCTTGCTCGAATCTGATCACAAAAACAGAAAAAAATGGCCAGTTGAGAGAGACATTAAAAATCCTTCAAAAGTCCGTTGGCTAAATGACATTTATTAAAGTTGCAACAAATAAGAAGCTTTTGAAACTAGTAAGTTAGTGAATAATAGGACACAGCTAACTCTGGCACATTACTTTGAATGTTCCACAGTAAGACTACATATATCGGTTAGAAACAATAAAATACTCATCTATAAAACACATTTGTATTAATTGATACCGACCTTACATTGCATTCAGAATATCGTTTCGACAAAGAACTAAGTCACTGCTGCAGCAGGCTAACAACATTCGGCAACATGACAGTTCTGTGTTGCAGCTGAAACGGTCCGTCGGAACTAAACGGCACTCTACAACAGTTCCACGTGGATGCACGCACACGCACAGAAAATAAATAAGGTCATTGGTTACATTTTTATTAAAATAAACTGCCACCGTGTCGTGCTAATTTATCTTAACACGAAAAAACACATTTATAAGTAAATAAAATAGAGCTATTATTTAAATTAACTTAACTTACTCGTATAATAATCTTATTATTATATGGAAATGTCTCTCTCTCTCTCTCTCTCTCTCTCTCTCTCTCTCTCTCTCTCTCTTTCTCTCTCTCTCTCTCTCTCTCTCTCTCTCTCTCTCTCTCTCTCATATATATATATATATATATATATATATATAACATGGAAAAATAATTATTGTGAAATTTTAGTTTGAGGGAAAGGAATCACAAAATATATCATTTAACAATAACTCCTGTGTGACAGTAATCAATCAAAGCCTACCACGATTTTCCTTTGACCACCCTTTCCTTTCTGACCCCCTTTTGCAAAGAATAATCCCTAATCTCATAATCCGCACTGCTGGTTGTTGAGAGAGCAGATTTCCATTCAGATCGAGTTTAACATGACACCGTTTACAAAGGGAGAGGAGGAGCGCCATGACAATTATCAAAGGAAATTATACGAGACTATACAACACAAGTGAGTAAATCGCTCGAAAGATCGTGTGACTTTATTTTGGTCATTTTGTCCCAGCCACAGATCTGTTTTTACCGGTCTCGTTGTTATTTACTGAAATTCTCTATATAGGCCTGGGTTTAGCTTGTTATAAAGTGTTGTGGTGCACGTTGTCATGATATTGTGAGTTAAATGCTAAGTGAAATTCTCCATAGCTATCTCCCGTATGGTTTAATAAATTTCTCAATATCTCCCGTATGGTTTAATCCCAGGAGAGGGCGCTATTGTTTTTTCAACAAGTGTAGTTCCCCCAGATTATTCTGTCACAATTCACTTGAAACCTATGAAACAAATGACATTAGGCCTACCTGTATGATATGTTATGTAGATTAATTTATTGATTAAGATTAAAATGCAATGAAAGTGCATGGTAGGCTAATAGCTGTCATTATGCATAACATCTCCTTTTATTTTCATCTGAAGTAGCATAAGCCCTACACTTTTGAAAAAAACAACAGGACAGTACACTGCTTTTATAAATCACTGTGTAGTCTGAGCATGTGTGTTTAACATTATAGGCTACTAACTTTTTCTGAATGGTTATCTCCAATATCTGCAGTCAGCAAAGAAGGATGCAGCTCCAGAGTGATTTTCAATCACAGCAGCGGAAAAATCGCCTGTAAGAAACATCAAAATAATCGAATTAAGAATTTTAGAATAATTGGAATGGTATAATTGTGCTGGAACATTTTGAATGTCTGGCACACTATTTTTGCTGTCAAATATTCTAAATACATGTTAAATGAGAGTATCATATTTTGGAAATAATAATTCTATGTAAGAATCATTAAGATCATATTAACAGTTTTATTAAAATTATAGATTTATTAAAAAAAAAATCTGATTTTCAAGAAACTATTTGACTTATTTTTTTTTGTCTTGAATTTAGAGGACACTGCCATTCGTTTTGTGTTTATTATCAATGAATGAGTTAAATAATATTATTTCGTTCTTGTTGTATAGAAGCAGGGCTGCCTGGCTGCAGGGCCGCTGGGTAGAGATCAGTGAGCAGGAGCGCAGGGCTCAGATCCATAACCAAAAGCTACTGCAGGACTTTCAGAGAGCACAAGACACACTCAATGACATGTTGGCCCACACCGAAGCCATGAACAATATACGTGTAAGCAACCACGCAGGACTACCTGCACACTTCCATGATTTACAGTGTACAATACACCTGTATTGACAGAAAAAAAAATGTACCTTTAAAGGTACTTTTTTTTGTCAATAAAGGCAGTTAAAGGGACAGCATTGTACCTTCTCTAACCTTAAAAGGTGCATGTTGCT